ATAATAGTTCTTCCATCAGAAGATCAAGCACTCCCCTGCTACCCTGACGCTTTATTATCTCTTCACATTAACAACCAATTAATCCTCAAACCGCCGTGACATTGATTCGACTCGCAGCTCTGCCTCTCAAGGTGTGTTTCGTTTCACCTGAAGCAGCTGTTCACTTTCTCTGAAAGCGTCGTTCTAGATGCACGTTGACCTCTTGAACAAAAGCTATCGAGCCTGTTTTTGTTACCTTTCCTTCTACACACACAGACGACCATAACGTGTCATGACTAAACATCCATGTTTCTGCGTTATTGAACTTCCATACTTATCCCAAAGAGAACAATCTGCAGACGTGCAGATATTGAACCCGTTGAACCTTTATTCATGTAGGGCTTGCCGGCAACATCCCATAAATGGTTTATTAAAATAACATTAACAATAGCAAAGGAACTGACAGAATCAGTTCATTAACAAAGACCAATAACAATATGGGTCAGAATAGCTTATTGCATAATGAAGGTGGAGGATGATTAAGAGTCTGGACCAGGTTCCAACCTCTGGATCCAAATGTACAATAACTATGCAGAGCCAGGCCGGGAGAGCCACCGCTCACGGACTAAGAATTGTTTCCCAAGGTGTGACCCTCCATTGTTATTTTGACCTTTTTGCAGTTCTCCTCTAACTGTGAATTCTCTTTGGATACGAGTACAAACCTCTGATCTCTAATCGGTCCTCCGTCCTTGACTTTCGCCCCGAGGCTTCTGAAAAACGAGAAGCACGCTCAGCAATGTTTCCCTCAAAAAACAATATATAAATAACTGCTCGTGTGATATTACAGCATATACGTGGATGCTGATTTCATCTGTGACCTGTCCGGTGAGCTCAGGACAAACACATTGAAGCCATAAATCAAAAGGAAGGTGTTCTCTTCAAGCAGAGAAAGAAACAGAAAAACAGAACTGTTGTTGTTTTTCAAAAGAAAACCGCAATATTAAAAAATAACTGCAGAACCACCTCTCTGGTCTCACAAGAACAGCATAGAAATGGGAGTTTAAGAAGACAGCGATCTATATTGTTGGAGTCGGTTAACCAATATTGTGTTCTCAGTGTGTGCTAAAATAATGCAGCAGTACTTATTATTTAATTTGTGGAAATGTGTGTATATGTGCAACCTAAGCATCCAAGAATAGGACAATGGTTCCCAACAGAAGGGTCAGGACCCCTACAAGGACCCGAAAGACAATTAAACGGAAGCACCAAGTTATTTATCAGCCTTTTCTCAAACCTTTGTTGTGAATTACCAGAACGTTTTACCTTCAAAATGATTGTACTACATTTAGAAGCATTATTTGACACATGTAAGTTGTGACGACGGGTCCCCATGAGTCTAAAAAGGTTGGTGACCAGTTGAATAGTCTGAGATGCAACTCTGTCTGGAGAAGAAACATATAATCTACAAAACGTTCAAATCAACATTGCTCCATTGATTCCCTGCTTTAAGTCACAAGAGAGTTAAACTTAATTAAGTGACCTTTAAACTAATGTTGGTTCCATTTATGTGCTCATAGAATTAAATTAAATCAAATTTGGATGTGATCTGTCCCTTTAACCCTGTGCTTAGTCTATAAATAAATGATAATAATGAATCTGATCTCCAGCTCAAGAAAGGTTTCCTGCAGTGGTAGTTTTGTCCTGAGAAGAAATCAGAGTGTATTTGATATTTAAAATAAATCGAGCAAAAGACGACGGGAAGTGTGGCTGAAAGATGCCAAAATACTGATCTTCTCTGCTGCAGTTTCACTTTACTAGATTTAGGCAACGCCGCCCTCTGGTGCTCAAAGTGTTTTTGTCTTTCTGTGTGAGCTTCTCATAAACATTGTTATCAACATTATGCAAAAGAATATCATGTATTCAGATGCTTTACTTCAGTAAAAGTACACTGTAAAAAATACAAGAAAAGGTCCTGCATTCAAAACCTTACTTTAAAAACACAAAGCATTGAACAACATCTGGACACAGACTGGCATTCAAACTGTCTGTGTATTTTTGGCATATTGAACTTGACATAGGATTTTTTGGGACACATATTTCTACATCTCACAGTAAATGTATGAATGCATGTCATAAAAAGGTGGGAAGTTGTCCTCCAGTGATATTTATTTATCTTTGTGTGCTGTAACTCCTGCAGCTTTAGTTGTTCTCCCTCCTCTCCCGTCATGCTTCTGTCACATCTCTTTGCGATAATGATTAAAAATGGAACTAATTTCCTCTAATCTGCAGGAATCAGATTGTCATCAGTTCATTACGGTCTTTTAACGGCTCGCTGCTGCCGAATAACAGGCTCCACCGAGCAGAACAATCCAATACAAAGAAGTTTATAAATGTGAATCAAACGTTTCCCGCCGCCAGTTATCTCGACTGCTGTCTGACAAGCTTCAGCTGTCGTCTCTCTGGTGGAGGATATGAAAGATGGAGATGTTTATTAACGTTTGATTTATTGCTTTTGCTGCTGCAGCAAACAGCAACAGTTTGAAATCAGTGTCAGCAACTCCCCAAAAGATGGCAGCACAGACTAATAGCTAATCTGTGTTTGTGTGTGTGTGTGTGTGTGTGTGTGTGTGTGCTTCATGTGTTAAACCTGCATTCTCTCAAGTGTCCACCAGGGGGCGCCTCCTCTGGTTGTATAGAAGTCTATGAGAAAATGACTCTACTTCTCTCTTGATTTATTACCTCAGTAAACATTGTAAACATGAGTTTATGGTCTCAATCTCTAGTTTCAAGTCTTCTTCAATACAGCATGATGTTCATTTAGTACATTATGGTCCATTTAGAGTCAAACAGACCATAAAGCAGGGGATGCTTTAGGGCGGGGCTACACGGTGATTAACATCAAAGTTCTTCATTTTCGTTTTTTGTAGCGTGAGAAAAGTGAGGACGTGTTTGGGGAAAGCAGAACACTTTGTCCGCTCCTCACATCTTCAAAGGGATGATCGAGGGTTTCGACTTTATTTTAGGGTTAAGCTCCGACTTAGATTGAGGCTCATGTTGAGCAGAGGCTCGATGTTTGGATGGTTACGCTTCGCGTCCAGAGAGGAGGCGCTGTGACAATAAGGGTCCTCACAAGGGTGCAAGTACAAACACTTGTGTGTTCTGCAAAAGGGGATTGGACCCCACTTCCTGTTGTGGGTCGGTTCTCCCTCAGGAGGAGAGAGCTTTCTCACGCTGTAGAGAATAACCACACACACACAAATGGATGCAGGACACATAAACACTTAAAGAAAAACTGATTTATTGTTGCTGATGTGTCCGCCGGGCTTCAACATATCAACACAATCAGAACACCTGTATCACAGAACTTTGTGTTCTTTATTTATTCGTATCGTAATCTCCATCTTCCCCTCCGTCATCCATCTCCCGGGTGTCACTGCGGGTCGTCCTGGTCACAAGTGCTTCCTCCACCGGTGACGTAAAGGTTAAAAGTGAAAGTTGAACAGCTGTCTGATTTTTCTTCTTCTGCTGTGTGTGTGCGTGTGTGTGTGTGTGTACATGCAGAGACAGAGGAAGAGAGGGTGAGTGGGAGTATTTGTTGAACCATGAGGGACATTACAGGTTATGATGGAGGGAAGCAGAGATCAACTTCTTCCCTCACAGTTTCTTGGGATCACTGGTGGATGGGAATCTCCTCACACTGTCCCCTAGCTGTGGTGTAAACACACACACACACACACACACACAGAGTCGTGTTTCTATTCACATATATTTATGCGTATGTGGAAGTATTTCTTTATAAAACGTGTGTGGAAAGGCGCACGACTGATCAGATGTTTTCCATGACGTGTGAATGTTTGTCTTTGTCTTTGACGCTGGACGACATGAAACATGGCCGACACGAAAGAGCAATTAAAAGTCACCTAATTGAAAACAAATGTCTGAAGATATCAACTTCTTCTTCTACTCTGATAACAGGTAGATTACAGCCATGCGATGTCTAGAGAGCCAACTTCTGACCAAACTACGCTTTAGTTTATTCACAACAAACACGATGATGGAAACACCTTATTCACATTTATTTTTTGCAAACAAAAAAGAAAAGTTTGACAATTGAATGGAAGCACGACTATTGACTTCCATTCATTTCCTGGAGACTTACCCAACCCTTAACCTAAACATAAGATAAGGAAAGTATATTTCCCTCTTATAGGAAATAGAGTATAAAGTACCACACACACATCCTAAACCAATAGTACGGATTCCTGGCGTGGCTTTAATCAAAAGATTTTCATGACACAATTTTAAATAAATAGGCTCTTTTTTTGCAATTCCAGGAAGATTCCACAGCTTGAATTTGCTCTTTTTTTCCTCTCAAGGTTTTTCTCTGTGGGTTTCGGGGGAAACAGCGCCCTCTTCCTGTTCTCTGCTGTAACGCAATCCATCACATTTCAAAATAAAATGTAGCGCAGGTGGAACGAGACTGACAGTCTGAATAGATGTGATTTGTTTCAGGTTATTTACAGCCATGTCTCTAAACTAATTATTGAAAATAGAGAGGAGAGAGTTTGTGTCATCTTGCTTAGATGTATAAAGTATAAAATATGTATTTTCTTCCACATACTGTGACCTGTGCAGGTGTGTTCAGCAGACTTTTAATATTTTATGTTTTATTGTAATAAACCGACCCTATAATAACATTACATTCAAGGCTTCCCCTCATTTGAAGCCCATATCTTCAGTTCAGACCCTCAACTAACCTCTTCTGTCAGTGAAGGTGCACTGGTTGTTAGATTAAATATAAACACGCTCCTTTTACCTTTTACAGTGACTAAAAGCTTTCAAACAGCATTTTTGACTACAGTCGAGTCATCTCCGTTATGCTTATTCGGCTTTAGTTTGACCTACATTTGCCCATTTTGTTGGCATGCATAATGAGACATTTCAGCGGAGGAAAGCCAGCCATATCTGGCAATGTGTGTGTGTGTGTGTGTGTGTGTGTGTGTGTGTGTGTGTGTGTGTGCGTGTGCATGCACCATAATACCATATCTGAGCGGACACAGTAAATGTCATGTGTATGCATTTCCTGTCCCCCGTGCCTTCAGTGTAAACCGCAATATAATAAGACGTCGCACTCGGGAATTAAGATCCGGGATATAGGGGACGCATTGACCCACAGCGCGTGCCCCCAAAAACTGCGTCAGAGGTTGGGTAAGTGTTTCCTATTTTCATCCCGCTGTACTTTCACAACCAGATGTCTGCAGCCTCAGCCTGGTGTAACACGACGTCTTCAGTTCAGAGAGGTGCATGCGCGTCCTCTCGGGCATGCAGCGCGTACCAGACTCCATTGAACCATCTTACAGTTTAAGATCTCTCTGCCTCTCCACCCAAATACATGCATTACCTATACAAGTAGATAGAATATCTGAATTGATAGAAGACACATCTTTATTTCGGCATCCATACAATCTACTAATTATAATAATATGAGTTGTATTCACGCTGCACTCCTTTGTTGATGTCTGTGGAGTAACGCACGTTTTGGTGGAAGGGGGCTGAGGAGATCACAGACCGAACAGTTCAAAAGTTAAAGTTTTATACAAATAAATCTTCTTAAATTGGTTTTATTCATGCCGAATATAGGCACATACTTGACTGATTTGATAAAAAGCATTGCACTCCCCTTCTACCACATTAATGTGTCTACGCGTGTGAAGACTTTACATTTGTGAATGGAGGTTTGGTTCCCTCTCAGCGGGGATGACTGGATCAAGAATCACCTTGTAGGTGGTTCTGCACGACACGTGAAAGACACTACAGTGGTTTATTATAGCTCCAGGGATTCACGCGTGCATGAGTCGCATCATGCTGTTATTACATGAAATCAGCATGAATAACTGTCATTACTGTCGACAGCCAGGGCTTTGTTCGCCTCAGTGCGCCCCGATCCAAGGTCCTCGCTCCAACGTGTGAAAGCCAAACAAAGCGGGTTCCACGTGTGAATCCTCTCTGATCCAGCTTTTAGATTATGGGGGAAATAACAGCAATGCAATCAGGTTATAGACTGTAAATAATGTAATTAAATTAAATGTATTTTGTATGGCCCACAATACACATATGACATCCTCTGTCCCAGGACTGTGGAAGCCCATTTCTGCCACTGTGATGAAAAAATAAAGATCCTTTTAGTCATTATAATGACAAACTATCTCACAATTATGACTTATCATCTCATAATTATGACTAAGCATCTACGCATGAATATTAAAATCACCTACAATAATTACGCGGTACACTATAACGAATATAATTGGCTGTAGTGTTCTCCAGGTTGGGTGTGAAAGATTAAGAACAAGGCTTTCAAGATAATCCTTGATTACAGCAGCAAAATGGAAAGTGCAAACAAACAGACAGACAAAGGTAGAAAAACAAGATCAAAACAAGTATAATACATACAGAATCATACAGTAATGGTACAATAAATAAGTAAAAACCGTGAAAAAAACCCAACAAACACTAAAACATGCTATAGTCGGACTGAATGTTTGTATTGAACATGAGTGAATAAATGAATGAGACAGTCTATGTAGAGAATGTTTACACCGGTGGAAGTCCACCACCAGCTCTTTGGTTTCCCCTGAGTTGATGTGGAGGTGGTTCCGCTGGCACCGGCCCACAAAGTCCTGGTTCAGGTCTCTGTATTCCCCGTCATCCCCGTCCGTGATGAGGCCGACCGCTGCAGAGTCGTCTGAGAGCTTTGGCAGGTGTCAGTTAGAGGAGTTGTGTGTGAAGGGTGAAGAGGATATACAATACAGAGTGCATGGGTGCAGACGATGGGGGTTGGAGGACTGGATGGGGGGATGGGAGGATGACTGATCAAATCTGATAAGTAAAGAACCACACAGGCCAGACATGGTTTTGAGGCCCCTCCAGACCACACTGATGTTCTTCTGCTGCAACTGATCCTCCATCTTTATCCGATATCTGTTTTAGGATATATACTATTTCTAACAGGCTTCAGTCAAAGATGGCTGCCACTCCACCTCCTCGGCCGGTGACATATTCTTTATGACACAGCCAGGTTTAAGAAAGATAAGATAAATCAATTTGACTGTCTGATATTAAATCATTTACTAATACTTTAGATGACATAGATCTGATATTTAACATATTTAATTATCCTATTGTTGCATTGGTGGTGTTAACTTGTATTGGGTTATTTTGTACAACTCCTCTTCTGTTTACTTTTGATTTAATTAATTGAATTGGCCACGGTCTCTCCAGCAGGGGTGTCTATCATACAGCCCCAGGGCCCAGTACTGGCCCGCCAAAGGGACCAATCCGGCCCTCTGAATGACTAGAACATTGCAGAGATGTGATTCATTTAAATTTAGAGAGAGAGAAAGGGAGGGAGACAGACAGACAGAGAGATATGAATGCCGTCTCTCCTAATAAGACCAGAGGAATAACTGAACACGTGACACCACGAGCACGAGCAAGAGCAGCAGAGGTAGGTAGTGAAGCTAGCTGCTAAGCTACAGTACGCTAGCTGACGTTAGCAGAACGCGTAAACAAATGTCGGTAAAAGATGGAGAGAAAGCGATGAGTGGTTATATGTACAGCAGGTAGTTAACCGCGTGTACTGAAGAATATCACACTATTAACTGGGTTTAGCTGGAGCGGCGAAAAATACGCTGTCAGATAACAGATAGGCAGGTAACCGGAAGTAAGGTAACCGGAAGTGAGACAATACTCTTACCGTAGCACGTCAAGCATATTCCGACGTATTAAATTTATTAATATTAATATTTAAATATTAATACATGTTGCTGAAGCACTGTCTATTCTTTTAAGAATAATTGCATTATATTTCATATTTATTTAGTGTTGAAAAAGGATCAGAAACCTGTTTTATTAAGTTTTCAGACATGCAAATTGCTTCATAATATGATCAGACTGTAAGGTGATATTACTGGCTGCTTGTTTATAAACTGTATGTGTGTAACTGACATGTCAGTTGGCTTTCTAGGATGCTAATAATGAACCACCTTCTCACCGCTAGACTGGTCGAAGTGTGGAAATCTGATCTGGGAACGCTTTGTCAAGTTTGCTGAATTTATGCATACTTATACCGGAACTCTTGAAGTCTATACCTTCAAAATAAATGCAGCTATTTTTATCACAAGGGGATTCAGACAAATTGATCAACAAAAAACGCAAGAGAAGAGCAAAATCGAACAGAAATGTAATTTTATAATATATAGATATTTGAATTGGGTGAATTGAAGTGAAGATGAGTGTAAAACCAAATACTTTCTATTAGTATAATAACACTGCCCAATATAAACCTGGATAATGAAATTAACAATTATGTTATAAATAACAAATGAGGGGAACACAAGGGCATGAAATAATGCATGAAGTTACCCAGGATGTGCGAAATGTCAAAAAGCTGACAAGGCCATTACAAAACAGGCAAAGTACCCCGACCCTCAGGGGCCCCAAAGCCCTCAGGTCTCCTATAATGTATAGTTAATGGTTGTATTGATTACTTGAAAAGGAAATGCCTTAAAGGGGACTCTCAATCCCTGCCTTGTAGAGGAGCTCTACACCTTTAATACCTTTAATATTTAATTTGATATGATGCTTACATGGCTCATACAGTTTACATAAATACACTTGCATTTAATCAGACTAAACTGAGGAACACAGGAGGCTTATTTTGGGCCTACCGTTACTTTTTGCTTGTTCGTGGTTTTTATTGTGAATTAAAGCATCATTTGTTGTCTTTATACGTTTCTTAGAGTATTTCATGGTGCTTAAATCTGTAATACCATAATATTTATTGTATATTATTCCTAATCTGTGAGAAAAAGACATTTGTTGAAGTCATTATACTTTGATTCTTTTATTTTGAAGGGTTTCACCGGAAGCCTTGTGTCATACTCGGTGTAACTTGACACCGTTGGCAGAGACGGGCAGCAGTAACATGCAGAGCAGCTGATGCAGTGCGGGGGCTAAAAATAATCAACTTTTTACACTTCTGCTCTCACTGTATTCTTCTTTCTTTTCTCTGTTTGTGTTCTTTCTTTCTTTTCTTTTCTTTTAAATCCAGACATCCGGAATGAAACGTTGTCATTAAGGATTTTTACTTTTCTTCGAGGTAAGAGACTTTGCTGTTTATGAGTTTTTTTGTGTGCAAATGAGCTTTTTAAATGTTAGTTAAAGCTGTATTTATTATTTTAAAATGATGGGGTTTAATAAACAGGGCTGTAGTTTAACACAGGTGTTGTTTTTGGTGGTTTTTGGAGGTTTATTTACTTGTCAGTGAGCCATTAAATCAGAGTTAAAGGGATATTCATATGGAAAAAAATAATTATTCACAAAAATAAGCAAAGAAAAGGACAGAAATTCAAAGTTATACTCGGGAAATATTGTGTTTTCTTATTGTGGAGAACAGCACTTGTAAGTAGCTTCAATTCTGACCGTTTTAGTGGAAGCCAATGGTGCCAAATTTTAAAGTTTGACAAAAAGTTTGACAGAAATAACCATTTATATATTTCCCCACTTAAAATATCAAAACAATGGACAGAAATTTGAAGTTATACTCGAGAACAGCACTTGTAAGTAGCTTCAATTCTGACCGTTTTAGTGGAAGCCAATGGTGCCAAATTTTAGACAAAAATTTCGATAGAAATATCTCAAACCACCTCTGCACCATTTGTATATTCCCCACTAAAATATCTGTAAAGCCAGTTTGTCCAAAAAATGTCTTCACAATTGGCACTAAAATGCCCCAAACAAAGATGGCCACCAATGGCCGCAAGGTGCGGCCATTGGTGGCCATCTTTGTTTTTGGTTTGGAATGGAGACAAAATGTTAGAAGGTATAAATTAAAAAACATCTGCTATACTGTATGTTTAAGGAAATGTTTGAATAAGGCAACAAATAAAAGGCATTAAAAACAAACATTCCTAAACTTTATAACTTTATAAAGCAATCATTTAAGAACTTTAAAGCTCATCGTACGATTGTTTTAAGCCTTAAAAGTTGTCAGTGAGTGAAGCCGACTCAGATAACCAAAACCTGAGTCTGTCGAAACTGAAGTCATGGCGTCGCGACAACTTTTAATGACATTCGTCTAACAGTAAAGCACCAGGAGCCAGGAGCCCTGTAGCTGTGGCCCTGAAATAGCTCTCATGTCTTGCATTTGTGTTTCTCTCTGTGTGTGTTTGTTTGTTTGTGTGTGTGTGTGTGTGTGTGTGTGTGCGTGTGTGTGTGTGAAATCCCACGAAAATGTCTGACGTAGTATCCAAAGATCAAACCAAAGCACCGCTAGTGACGCTAACGGCTAACTGTTCAAAGACAATGGTAAAACATGAGATACTACAACACACAATACAGTTTTTGTTCTCTATTTTGGGCGTTTTAGAAGCGTTCTGATTGTTGTTTTTTGCGTGCAGCAGTCGGGCGGTGGCATGGCCTTGTCGTTCTGCGGCGACGACCAGGACATCAACTCCTACAGCGTGAAGGACGGCATGCTCAACAATGGCTGCTTCGTGGACGCTCTCAACCTGGTTCCCCATGTCTTCCTGCTCTTCATCACCTTCCCCATCCTCTTCATCGGTAGGTTATGGAGCTTGACAGACACACACACACACACACACACACACACATTACATTAATTCCAAAGTACTGTCTCTGTATATTGGCCATTTATATCTACTTAAGCCTCTTAAGGCTTCATCTTCTCTGCTGGAAATGTTCCAGAAATCTCTGCAGCAGTCGGGGCAGAAATAATCCTGTGAAGATTACTGGACTTTGATTTTTGTTGAGATTGTTTGACACTAAATGTGTTAAATACTTCTTATAGTGGAACACCTACTGTGATGGACTAGTCACCTATCCAGGGTCTAAGAGCTCCTGCTTCTTCAATGTGTGAATATGTGAGTGAGTGTTTCATACGGTAACGTCTCTGCTCTCACGATCAATCACCTGATCCACTTCCTCAGTACGTAAAGAAAGCAATATTTTTCAAATGTGGTGTTTCAGTCCAATGTTTGTTGGGTGTTTACACACTTTGATGCATATTTCACAAGAGCAGCGCAGCAGCTTTAGAGTGTGGTGATCAGCAGTAGAGTGGTCGTACATGTACAGAGTAGGTTTCAGTCTCATCTCGTCTTGTTGTAGTTCAGCAGGACAAACATGGTGGTGAGTCTTCTCTAGTGAAGCCATCAGCTCGCTTAAGTTCATATTCAAGTGTTTACTTACTGACTCAATCCTCTTCATCCTCTGTAGCACAAAGGGCCACAATGAGCTGCTTCCACATCATCGTTCACGTGTCGAACCTCGACCCAAATATAAGGTCATGTCGTCTGAGTTATTTTTGTTCGTCCTGGAAGTGTCCGTCCCAGCACAATGTCTGGAAGGCACTCGACTCAGAGACCACCGCCTTGTTTTTCAGGAAAGCTGTGTTTGCTTTTAGTGTTTTTTTTGTGGTCTTGTTGGGTCAGAAGATGCAACAAAACCTTCTCATGCATCAACAATAAGACTGACTCCACACTGGTTTTATAAACAGGAGATAGACTTTATTATTTGGACTTCTAGATGTTGAGGTGTTGGGAAAACGCACCCTGAACTTCCCCTCATCGTGCTTTCTTTTTAGTAAATAGCTTGTGCAAAAAGACAAATGTTATGTCAGTGAGTTGTATTTAATCAACATTTAATTTCTCTCATTTTCATTTTTATTCTCAGCCGACAAAAGCTGATTAAAGATCTCAGTTGAATCTTTGAACATAGTTACTAACAAATATTAAAATCTGAACATCAATGGGTTTGAAATGATTTAAATGTGACACAATGATATCAAACACCAACCTCATAAAGACACAGACGGTGAGGAGTGAATGAGGGATTGACTCTCCTCTGAGTGGTGTTACAATAATCTGTTACTCAGAGCAGATGTGTTTAGTGATATTAACTTTCTCTCTCTCACACATTTTAAAGTCTCTTTCTCATCACCAGTGAACATTAAGCAGCTTTGAAGAGCAGTTCAGATGAAACTAGAGCAACAGTCCAGAGATCCAGTGGAGGCCAGACCGTAAAACAAACAGCAAGCAGACGGGCAACAACAGATACATGCAAACAAATACGTATTTTGGGATATTTATTGCTGAGTTTAGGGTTATGTATTCAGTTCAGTTGTGTAATAATTCAATGAACATATTTGCTTTGTTTTGTACCCATTTAAATATTTGTATATATGTGTGTGTGTGTGGGTGTGTTTGTGTTTGTGTGTGTGTGTGTACAGTAGTTTATGGGAATAGTTCCGACCACAAAGCCTTCAGCCGGTTCCCCGAGGACTCACTAATTGAAGCTTCCTGGTTCTAGTTTATGCTCTCCATCCCCTGAGCCTCCATCAAGGCTGCGGTCCATTTAGTTAAGAGCAGAAACAAACCTCACGAAAACAAACTATCAAATAAAACTCTGTGCTACTGAGCTCCCATAGTTAAACTGACACTAACACACTTTCATGAAGCGTGTGTGTGTTTAGAGTGGATTAGTCAACAAAAAACTAATCTGTAACTGGATCTGGGTCTGTCCACGGTGGACCGGTCTCTCCTGGAGGATCTGGGTCTGTCCACGGTGGACCGGTCTCTGCTGGAGGATCTGGGTCTGTCCACGGTGGACGGGTCTCTGCTGGAGTCTGAGCTGAAGGAGTTTCTGGTGAACCTGCATGAGTTCATCTGGTTTCACCAGAATCTGACCCGGTGGCTCCGATGACGAGCATTAAGAATAAGACCATCTTCTCTCTGATGGTCTCTTTACTGATGGAGGTCTGATAGAGGACCAGAACTAAACTGAGACTGGTTCAGGACCAGGTAAAAGGTCCTCACAGTGACTTTAACTAGATTTTCAAGCAAAAATGTCAACTTTTTGCTGGTTTAAACATCTTGAACGTCTTCTTTTCCCTCACGTTTCCCTTTTCGTTGAGTTCAGATTCATCATGTCTCTCTCTCTCTCTCTCTCTCTCTCCCTGTCTGTCTCTCTGTCTCTCTGTCTACCCATCAGGTTGGGGCAGTCAGAGCTCCAAGGTCCAGATCCATCACAACACATGGCTTCATTTCCCCGGACACAACATGAGATGGATCCTCACCTTCTCGCTGCTATTCGTCCACGTCTGCGAGTTCGCAGAGGGCATCGTCTCCAACAAGTGAGACAAAAACAATATATTTTCTGTTGTCATACAAGTGAAATAGGAATTTGAATATGTGAATTATGTCCTGTGTTTGCTTCATGCTGTAGGGGGATGAGTACCAACCACCTCCATCTCTTCATGCCAGCCTTCATGGGTTTCATAGCAGCCACAACGTCCGTGGTTTACTACCACAACATAGAGACATCCAACTTCCCCAAACTGCTGCTTGGTGAGACTCAACAGTGGTTAATCATCATTCCCAGCTTTTAAGAGACTGGACATTTTTTGGTTTGTGTACCTTGAAAGTGCTTGAGTTTTACTCTTAAAAAGACTCTCATCACAACAAAAAGCAGCAATGAAACCGTCAATATGACGCTATACAACGTTTCTATTTCCCCACAGTACTGTTCATCTACTGGGTGTTGGCGTTCATCACAAAGTCCATTAAGCTGTGGAAGTTTGCAGAGCACTATGTTGGACCGCAGCACCTGAGGTTCTGCATCACGGCCCTGTTAGTGGTGCTGTACGGACTGCTGATGGGCGTGGAGATCAACGTCATAAGAGTCAGGGTGAGGACCCATAAGTCATCCAGCATCAGTGAATAAATAACCTTTAAGGTGTTTAGTGCAGGAAATATGTGAAACAAAACTAAACGCATTTATATTTTCTAATAACTGTATTTAACTTTTCTCCAAACAGGATAAATGGTGACTGAAGACTACGTCTAATTCTGATTTTGTCTCTTTCTCCTCCCCGTAGAAATACGTGTTCTTTGCCAACCCCCAAAAGGTGAAACCTCCAGAAGATCTGCAGGATTTGGGGGTTCGCTTTCTGCAGCCGTTTGTCAACCTGCTGTCCAAGGTAGACCAAAACACACTGTGATTTAAAAAAAAAATGATCAGAACAGTTATTGATATTCATGATCAGGATAGATCAAATTTACCCAATTCAATTTTTTAGGCCACAAGTAAGAAGTTAGACAGTGTCTGTTCATGTTCAGGTCTCATAATCAATACTTTGCAGTGGAGTAAATGATTAATTGCATATTTTTAGTCGACATATTGGTGGATGAATCCTCTCATCATGGGAGCCCATAAGAGGCCCATCGAGCTGAAGAAGATCGGCAAGCTGCCCATCGCCATGCGAGCACTCACCAACTACCTTCAGCTCAAAGACGCCTACGAGGACCAGAGGGTGAGCTGATGGACTCCCTTACCCGATTTAACACTAATGCAGTGTGGGTTTCCTGCTGCTGACGGTGTCCGAAGACAAACCTATTTACTCTCTTCCGTCCATCAACTCTCGACAGACGGCTGAGGATCCGAACCGTGCCCCGTCCATCTGGCGCTCCATGTATCGAGCGTTCGGCCGCCCCATCCTGCTCAGCAGCACCTTCCGCTACCTGGCCGACCTGCTGGGCTTCGCCGGGCCGCTCTGCATCTCCGGCATCGTGAAGTACCTGAACAACAGCAGCGTCGGCCCGACGGCAAAAGAAATCGAGGCCAATGTGAGTACGAGCCAGTGAAGCGAGTTGGTGTGTGAGTGTGGGTGTGAGGTTCAATTTGAGCAAGTGAAAGGCTTTAATACTGCTACTCAATCAACATATCCTAATACAACAGTTCGTGTGATATCTAATGTATCTCATTTTTCAAATGTTTTCCTACAAAAGCGTAAATTTCCCCTCATTACATGAATACGATCTTTTCAAAATAAACTTCCGTCTTCACAGGAAAGTCAGGATTTAGGGAACAAAACTAGGTTAGGTTTAGGAAAAGATTGCCGTTTGGGTTAAAATAATCACGGAAATTACGTGAGAAAAACAGGAATATTGACTTTTTGTCTCGCATGGGGATCGAGCAGCGGTCTCCTGGCCGAAAGGTCGCTGGTTGTTCAATTAGTGGTCTTTATACCTCCTTGTCCAAGATTCAAGAAACATTTTTGTGTGATAACTACAAAATTATGATGCATAGTCTTTCGTAGAAATCGCTGCGAATGCTGGATGAGAGCAGCTTGACTCAAATCCTCCTGCTTGACAACATGACTCCCAGTGTGAGGGGAACACGGTGGTTTGGCAACTCTGTTTGCAAGTCAAGAGTGACGTGACAGTCGGGTTCGATTCCCGTAAAAAAATAACTTCCTGTTGCGTTTAAACTTTAATGGTTTGGAGGTCTTCCAGAGAGAGAGAGAGATAGAAGATTATATTACTCATCCGTGAAGACAAATCAAAGACCGTAAGTAGGTTGTGACACACATGAAATGTGCTGTATTTCAGTAGTATAAGCCGGGGTAATTGATAGCGGGGGGGGGGGGGGGGAGTGTGGCTACGATGTGAAAGGTTAAACGTCGTTCATTAATTCCCCTTCAGAGAAATCTCTTTGGAAGTTCTGAAGGCGTCAATGCGACCACACTCTGCTTACATAAGATCATTTTATTAAAAGTTCAAATTAGTGAGTCGTCTACACACACACACACACACACACACACACACACACACACACACATAGTGTCGCTGCTTGTTGGAGATGTTGAGTGGTCGAGCCGACCAATGAATGACTCACTCCCGGTGTGATGTCACCGAGGGCGTTGGTCTCAGCCATCATGTCGCCACCAGTACGTGTGAACGATGCCGTGTCTGACGTGGTTGTGTTTCTGTAATGTCATAACACGCAGGTGCTGAAATGTCATTACACACACACACACACGCAATACTTTTATACATGTGAGGAATGACGTAATACACTCCCTAATCCTGGCAACTACATACCTTCAACCTAAAACCAAGTCTTAACCTTCTAAAAGCACTGAAGAACAGATATTATTATACTTTCAAAAATGTCCTCAGTCTCCAAAAGATGTCCCCACTTTCTAAGAATGTCCAAAGTGTCGGAGTACAAGAACACACATGCAGAATCTCGTATACAGTGACATTAGAATGAATCAATGCACACGTATTAGTGGTGCAACGGATCATCAAACTCACAAACTCCACCAGTGACACTAACTTTAACTTTAAACACTTCATTGAATATCTGCACAAAATATTGACTTTATTTCAGATGTATCAGGACCAAACTTGTAACTATTCCACCACAATAACACAGAACATTAGTATCCAGCCACGATGGCACAGTGGAGTGTGTGAGCCGCCGCTGAGAGAAAGCAGACACTTCTTACAGACGCTCCAGCTGGCGAAGGAAGCGATGCTGGCAGAGCTGATCACAGACATCGACTCCTCTTAAATCCATCTCGGCCTCCTCCAAAGATCACGACACAGACAGAGGCACAGCAGACGCGCTCTTGTGATGGGAGTGTATTATCGTTGAGTCCATTTGGCTGGATGTTGTTATAGTGGATGTTGAATGGGAGACGTAGTCGCGTCCGTTCCTGCCTATTAAAGTGGGTGTAATGGGCAGCGGAGATAAAGAGCAGAGCAGCGCTGCATGTCTGAGTGACATGGAAAATTCCCCACTCACCTCACACTCAATACAGAGGCAAGGTCTGCTGAGCATCACACTGAGCTTTTTGGTGTGTGTGTGTGTGTGTGTGTGTGTGTGTGTGAGTGTGTGTGTATGTGTGTGTGTGTGTGTGAGTGTGTGTGTGTGTGTGTGTGTGTGTGTGTGTGATTCGTACACTTACTATGTGCTGAGAGTGGGGCTTTATCACGATCAATCAGGTTTATTGCAGAGTTTTGCTTTGTTGTATTTGTGCATAACATAAACATAGATAAATAAAAAGTAAAAGTGTATATGTATATATATGTACATGTGTGTGTGTGTGTGTGTGTGTGTATATATGTATATATATATATATAGAAAAGAACAAAAAACAAGAAAGATATGAAAAAATACTATAAAATATGTTCAAGAAACAAATAAAGACGAGAGAAAAATGCAATAAAATATGGAAAAATACCAAAGAAAAGTACAATAAACACAAATATAGAATAAAAAAAATTACAATTAAAATATAAAATATATATTTCCAAATAATCTGAATTAAAAAAGAAAGAGTTGTGCATATTGATAAAGTCCTCCGATCACAGTATGTATGTAGATTTCTACTGTCCAGTTGGGCATTTTAACATGGAGGTCTATGGGGATTGACTCGCTTCTGGAGCCTCAAGTGGCCATTTGAGGAACTGCAGTTTTTTAGCTGACTAGTAACATCCAATCATATTCACACAGGTGGTTCTCTTGATACCTGTTTGACCTGCGTGCAACCGTTCAGGAAGAACTTCACGTATCTTGTGTGTTTGCTTCGTTGCAGACGCATTTGGGCGTGTACTTCATGCCGTCCATTGAGCTGCTGAAGGACACCTCCGTCCTGGCTGTGCTTCTCTTCCTGGCTCTGATCCTGCAGAGGACCTTCCTGCAGGCCTCGTACTACGTCACTATTGAAACCGGCATCAACCTGCGGGGAGCCCTGCTGGTGAGTGAAACATCATTTAGGTTCGGACGTTTTGTTTCCACTCTGAGGTGTTGCTTCGAAGAGGTCGAGTAAATAATAAATATAAGCTTTTATTGACAAGTACGGATAAATAGAGAAGAGCAAAACATAACCGATTGAAAAGTATAAGAATAGAAATATAGGTTTACTTTGCATCTACTGTAGTAATACGCTGACTATGTAGAAGTACCTCGTTATACCGAACTTCAAAACATCCCTTTAACATTAATCCTGTTTACATGTCTTATTTCTTTAACTAGGCGATGATTTACAACAAAATGCTGCGTCTGTCCACCTCCAACATGTCTATGGGGGAGATGACGCTGGGGCAGATCAACAACCTGGTGGCTATCGAGACCAACCAGCTGATGTGGTTCCTCTTCCTCTGCCCCAACCTGTGGGCCATGCCTGTACAGGTGGGTTGAAGAGGGGACCTCCTTCACATTTCTGGCCATGTCTTAATCTTCCGCAGTGAAGACTTCTCTCTTCTGTCTCTGCAGATCGTGATGGGAGTGATCCTGCTCTACTATTTGTTGGGCTGCAGTGCGTTGGTTGGAGCATCGGTCATAGTCCTGCTGGCTCCGGTCCAGTACCTCATAGCTACAAAGCTGGCAGACACGCAGAAAAGCTCACTAGTAAGCAGGACGCTTGCTTTGAAATGCATCGTATTCCCTCCAGATGTTCTGTTTTTCTTTAAATAACAGAACTTCATGATGTGAATCCACATTACGTTTTGTCCTCAGGAACACTCGACGGAGCGTCTGAAGAAGACCACAGAGATCTTGAAGGGCATAAAGTTGCTGAAGCTGTACGCCTGGGAGAACATCTTCTGTGGCAGCGTGGAGGACACCAGAGGCAAAGAGCTCACCAGCCTCAAGAACTTCGCCTTCTACACATCCATGTCCAGTAAGATGAAAACAGAAACCTCTAACCTCATTTTGAATTATGTCGATTGCATTCGTTTGTGTTTGCAGGAAAAAGATTCCTCAGTCTTCATCAAATGACCCCCTGCAGGTCCCGGGGACTCATTACATTTATACGTATCAACATAGCTGATGAAGCACTTTTAGCCGATATAAATATGCACACAGCTTTAATACAACCTGCTTTCTCTCCCTGTGCAGTTTTCATGAATGCTGCTATTCCCATTGCTGCCGTTCTCGCGGTAAGAACATTTTAACACACTGGTCTACAACTCCTCCAAACGTTCTATGTGCTGGTTTCCCCCCCCACTTTCCCACTATGATATGATTTATCAATATCAACGAGGATTACTTAAAAATTTACAATCTTGTCTCGTAGACGTTTGTGACGTATTACTTCTGGACTGGGAACACCGTTCCCGCTCCTGCTGAGGCCTTCGCAGCTCTGGCGTTGTTCCACATCCTGGTCACGCCTCTCTTCCTGCTCTCCACTGTGGTCCGATTCGCCGTCAAGGCGCTGTTCAGGTGAGTGGTAGTGTTCAGTGTTATTGCAATGAGATCACTGGTGACTTGTAATGCTGCTTTGGCTGAGAGAGAGATAAGGGGGGATGTGGACTGGACTAAGGAAAGGAAGACACACTAGATGTGGCTCCTGAGGTAAATCTAATTAAAGGAGCATGGAGGACATCTGACAGCAGTGAAGAAACTCTGAACTCCTGAGAGATTACTGGTGTTGGTATCATCACAATCACAGATATTCATGTGTGTGTGTGTGTGTGTGTTCACAGCGTCCAGAAGCTCGGCGAGTTTCTTCAGAGTGACGAAATTGGAGACGACAGCTGGAGAAATGGAGACATGCCAGTTTCCATGGAAGCAGGAAAGAAACACATGGGGGGGGTGAGCGTTAATGAAACACGTTTTTTAATAGCGAGGCCGCATTTATTCTGTTGAATGCCAATTTCAGGGCTGAAGTCTGCAGATGCAGCAACAATGATGGAGACAAATGTCCGATAGATGGTGGCAGGTCTACATGAAGGTGAAGCCACCGAACAGTTCTATTTAAATGATGAAGATTTATCCACATTTCTCCTAAAGACGTAAGGTTCCAACCAAGATGAGATTGGTGACGTGGCGAAGCAGCGTGGGATCGTGGGAGTTGTTCCTCCGGTGGTCATCGTTCAGGAGGTTCTTACCACAGAGGTCTCCTCCTCTGTTTCAAACACTGAATGAAGCAGCTTCAGGTCAAAAATCTGTGTTTCTTCGACGCTGTTCGGAGGACGCAGGACGTCCTGGAGGAGCTGAGAGCCGAGCTAACGCTAACGCTTAGCTCAGGTTGTTTCTCTGATAACTTAAGATCCAGACGTCAGACGACTAAAATCCTACTAACCAACTGAGATTATTTGCTCAACAGCATCAGGAAGTAAATTTCTGAGTCCCATTAAATGACTTCTGAGTAATGAAGAGCTTCAAATGGCCCCAACATCCAAACATTTATCCCGTATTTAAAACAGATGTCGTTAACAAAGCACACTGAAGAGACGTCTCTAATGTGTTGAGTGTAGCAGCCAGAGCTTCCTCGTGGATCAGTGAGGTGTGCCAGACGACTCCGCACACATTCCTTCCATGCTAGTCCAGGTAACGTGTGTCCTTTCCAGGACCGGTTGCTATTAACAGGGTGTCGAGGGACGTTGCGTAACATCGTCCCCGCTGGTCCCAATGAGCAGATCCTCCCACAAATATTCACGTATTTAGACCTTGACGAGCAGCGGGGCGTCCAAAATATGTGGCTTTAGTTTAATATTTAAGTAATAAAAAGACAAAGCTTTTGTTATTTCTTCATTCTGGTTTTATAGAAAAGGTTTGTAGAAGAGTAACCTTTTTAAATGTGCATGTGGCCCTTATTCACCTCAGTTATAGCCTACATTAAATCATTAAAATACATTTACAAACCAACGTAATTTAATGAGATTAGAAGTCTTAATAGTTACAAAAATAAATGGTAATACTACGATGGTACGGTTGTAATTTAATAAGAATAGAGTCATTATATTTCAAGACAGAAGTAGTATTGTTACGACAATAAATGAAATAAAGTCAAAATATTTCAAGAAAAATGTTATATTACGATAATATAGTTGTAATAAATGATAATATAGTATATTTCAAGAATAAAAATCCTAATATTATAATAGTAAAGATATAATTTACTGAGAATAAAGTCATAATATATATATATATGTGTATATATATATATGTATATGTGTATATATATTGACAGAACACGGAACACAAACAAACACAAGCTGAATATTTAAACATCGATGTATTCATAGAGCAGAATTCTCCTGGTATGATTTAGAGTGATCTTGACATTTACTCTTACTTAACTCCGATTGTACGTCGTGTTATTTCCTCAGGACTAATGTTGTGTTTTACAGAACACCAGCAGCCGGTGAGCTGCAGCCCAGACTTTAATCCGTCTGTCTGAGGTTTCAGCCGACTGAGTCACTTGAGGACTATTCAGTTCCAGAGGGATTAACGCTGTTTGTGTCTGAAACGGACCGTCGGAGCACAGAACCGAGTGACTCGCAGCACTCTGGAGGTTTAATGGTTTTGGTTTTGAAAGCCCCATCTCGTTGTAGCTGCATTATGTTCCTTTCTAATATTCATGGTCTCCAGAGGATGATTGCTGTTGATTTTTGCTGACTCACTGAGCTTTTATCGAGCTCTGCCGTCAGATATAACTTCCTCTCACTTTTGTCAATGAAGTGTAGAAATAACCCCTCTGAATCACCACGTTATGACCTACTAGAAGTGTGTGGCGGCTTCTATATCTGCAGAGACTCCGCCCTCTTCCTGTATTTTCTCTTTTATTTCCATTTTGCATTTGTGTTTCGGGTCGTTTCTGGACGTCAACATCTATTAAAAAAATGGAGCTAGAACGTGAGCTCCAGAAATAAGCCATGGGACTGAAAAAAATGCAAATCTAGCGGACAGAAATGGTTCCAAAAGGCGAGGGCTTTGGATGACGTTGAGGACTTTTAAATGAGTGTTTACCAACTGCAATCACCAAAATCCCTCTCGTTCTGCTTTCAAAGTGTCTTGAGAACCTTCTGTACTTCCCTTCACCGTTGTTTTACCACAAGGCCACATTTTCCACTTATGAAAACAATATTCATGCTCCTCAGTGGATGGGGAAATGATTTATACTATTTATTCAAATGTTTAACCTTAAAACTGGTGCAGTTTGTTCCTCCCAACACTCTGGATGAAGTTTGCGTCGCTGCAAATTGGAGTGCGATGCCTCGTCAGATTATCCAACAATAACGTGCATCAGTGCTGCATAAAAGCAGCAATGTTAGTACATCCCGTTACATGCTTCAGTTGCCTTATTGCAACAAGCGTGCAGCACCTCTTAGTGATGTCGGTGCAAATAAAACTAAGCGTGAAGCCTCTGATGCGCAGTATGTTTGCATGTAAACTGTGGTGTGATAGAAAGAACAGAATAACGTGCCAGCAGTGGTATTGAACCCTAAGGTTCAACATCCTCTCGGCTTATATCTGAGGGAACCCCCGCACTTCTTCTTCTTCTCCCCAAGGAACTAAAGCGGATGCGGGAAAGTCTTCAAGATTGATGGTGAACGCTAACTTCAAATCTCTCTCTCTCTCTCTCTCTCTCTCTCTCTCTCTCTCTCTCTCTCTCTCTTTCAATATCCCCCTCAAGACCAAAGCCATCAACAGGAAGCAGCCGATGCGCTACCAGATGGACAACTACGAGCAGCCGACCAGGCGGCAGATGAGACCCTCGGAGACGGAGGATGTGGCCGTGAAGGTCAGGGTGAAAGTTGACAAAGTTGGGGAATGATTGAACGGGGGGGTGGTTAGGGACAGAAAGAGGGCATGAACTCTGTAAGACACCAAGGACAGAGCTACTAGTGTCCAAGGTTCAGAAGATGTTACACTTTTTAGTCTTTTGTTAAGGATTAAGAGAAGAATCTCCTCATTAGCAGGACGCTCTGTGGTCTAGTCTTACAGAATAATGTGTTCCCCCCTTTTGTCCTGACGTCAGACTAATAAACGTCCACGAGGCTTTATTTCTATATTCGATGGGTAGAGGCGGCACATTCAGCAGCGATGAACTCAGCTTTCCAAACTGCTGCCTGGAACTTTAACTGATAAAGTTTAAGGAGACAGTGGAGGAGGCAGTCAACAGAAATAGATCATTATAGAGATGATTTCATCTGTTACGGATTTTAAACAAAGAATAGCAGACTTTTAAAATTGATTTTCATCAAGATTTTATGCTCGAGGGAACCCAGAAGTTGTTTTGTTAACAATCATAAGATATCAATTTTTACACCATTTGCTGCCATTTTTTATAGTCTTTTTTTAGTGACAGTAAAGACATGATAAAGTGTGCCCCTTATAATAAAGAGAATTACCTTAGATTCCACTAAATCATCATTAATAGGCAGCTATCGATACACAGGCCGTCATGTCAACAAACACACGTTCAGATGTGTTTTGAACGAGATTTAATAAGATATAGTATATATATATATACTACTGATATTTATATTTATTATAAAAGCAGCTCAAGGACGTCATCACTCACACGTACACGCAGGAACTGCTCCCTCATTTATTTAACGCTGTCAACAGCTGTTTCATATCTTCACTGTTTGTACATCCATGGGTCATTTGTGGGTGCGTGGAGTCATACATGTGACTCGCGTGTGTGTGTGTGTGTGTGTGTACTCCCTGTCCTCTCAGGATGTGTAGGATTCACACGAGAATTCGTTGGCCCTTAAAGGGCCTCGTGATTGGGTCCAACATGTTCTCAGCCCCTCTGTGAAGGCTGCTCTTCCTGTCTCATCCCTGCGGAGCGATGCTACCGACCAGACGCTGGTCCGCTAATGAGAGAGAGAGAGAGAGAGAGAGAGAGAGAGAGAGAGAGAGAGAGAGCTTGGTTTTCCATACTCACGGATGTATCAGCTAATCCATTTAAGTATTTAATGATCATTTTTTTACTGCCATTCTTCAGGGTTGCACAATGAAATGCTAATCTGTATAATAATAAAATCACTTTTCTTATACTATAAATTACACGGGCAAAAGTATGTAGAAACCAAAAATCATGGAGATTAATGTGCCGCCATTTATAAGATCGTATTTTCATATTTCACTCCCCATTGAACATATTTCCTCTCCACGTCCGCTCTCTTTCCCCCCCGTCTTCTTCTTGATCGTATCTGTTCTTGCTTCCCTTTTTCACGGCTTTTGACAAACTTTATTGTTCTGTCTCAGCGGCCATGACACTTTGTTTATCAGTTGATTGAAGTATGATGCTGGCAACCGATAGCTGTGCTCAAAGATCTTCTACATTTTAAGACTCACCTGAAATAGATTTGAGTGTAACCCCTCACGTCTAAACCCCTGAAACAAACTGAAACATGAGTTTGCTTACAAAGGAACAAAGATGATTTAATGCCTTTTGGGATCCGTGTCATGGGGAGAAAGGAGCTGTGGAGGAAAAGCTGGGGGGGGATTGTCAGATAAAATAAACATAAAATAAACAAATAAATGCAACGGATGGGAGGAATGTAAACAAAGTCGTAGCAGGAAGCAGGGTGATAGATAGCCGAGCAGGGATTAGATATGAAGTCCTGTGACATGTTGCTCTGATCTCCTTCCTTTAACATTTAATGCTGTGACAGCACTGTGGATCATAAACATTCGGTGTCAGTGAAGCTAGAATATCTGACTTCATTCTTGCAATAAAACTTTGCAGCCTCGAAAACAAACTACCCAACGAAGAGGACACAACGTCATTCTGTTGCAGGAACGTCCCGAGCTACTGTCCATTTCTGAGAGCAAATATTTCCTTTAGTTTAGATTTGTTTACGTCCTCTCGGCTGTCAAACAAACTGACTCGGTGGATTCCTTCCTTCCCTTTTCTGCTGATTTAACAGCCGTTTGGATTCATCTTTATACACACAGAAATCAAACACTGCTTCTAGACTTTCACTGGTTATTAATAACGTTTTTCAAACTCTGGGTCAGGACATCAAATGGGTAATTTACTCTGGTGGCTTGACACGTAGTCGCACAATGAGACATCCACTGCAAAGGATAAAGGAACCCACATGAGTAGGATTTGTAGTTTATTGGATCTTTCCTCAGTTAAATCTTGTCACATGTTCAGTGTAACGCCTCCATGCTTCAGCAGAGACATTTTTGCATTGATTGTCTCTGTTTTTCTGTAGGTGAGCAATGGATTCTTCTCGTGGGGAAGCAACCTGTCCACGCTGTCAGACATCAACATCCGCATCCCCACAGGTAAGACACGTCTCTCACCTGATATCTGGCTATAAATAAAGAATCTGTTGCCAACGGAACAAGATATAGATTTGTAGTCCGTGTAGTATTTGACAAATCATGTTCAAGCAGCTTTTGGTTGAAACAGTCTGTGTGGAGGGCAAAAAGAGGCGGAACGTATCGGCCGAAAATCGTCCGACGATGGTTGATCTTGAAATTTATCTTGTAAACTACTCGTGAAACAATCCTTTCGTAGACGTCGTCTCTCAACTACAACTCCATTGTCGCGTCTCACGTTGCTAATTGGACTTTAAACAATGTCCAGCGAAGTCTTGCAAACTTGCAGGAAAACATCTATATAATTGGACTTGCAGCCAGAGGAGTCGCCCCCTGCTGGCCATTAGAGAGAATGCAGGTTTAAGGCACTTCCGCATTGGTATCAGAGGTTGCCGCCTGGCATTAATGCAGTGTCGACTAGTTTAGTCGAAAAATGTAGTTTAAAATATGTTTCTTAATGTTGGTAATTGTGACAAAGTCAATGTCCGTGTCTTCTCATCTCATCTCATCAAACTCAGACTTCATAGAGGCCCCAGAGTGTAGTGTTTCTATGTAATCGTAGAAGCACAAGAAGCTGCTCTCTTCTGGTGTTACCCAAAAGTTAAGGACCTCCAGTATGAAGAGAATCCTGCCTATGAATTTTAGTTGCCATGTGTTCAACTACTTTTATGACTTTCTACTCTGTCAGTCGGCTACAAGGTGAATTTCACGCCGTGAGAACGCTCTTAGAATGTGAACGAACCGAGCAGACCTGCTGAGAGAGAGTCACAGTAGTGCTGCAGCGATGTCACTTAAATACCAGGTCTCAGGAGGCCGGGTCATGTTGAAGCGAATGCCAACAGATGGTCCGTGTAGTATATCACACACACACACACACTCTCATCTTCCCCTGGGGAGTGAATGACAGAGTTAACTATCACAGTCATGCTTCTACTCAGACAAACAGGATTTGTTCTGCAAAGTTCTGGTGTTACTTAAAGTGAGAGTAGTTTGTTTGTTTCTGTTTGTGAATCAAGTCTTTTTTGGCTGTTTCTGACGTCTTCAAGGGACTATTTTAGAGTGCGGACTTGTGTTCGAGCTGCAGTGCTGATGGTTAAATTTAGGGGAAACAGGAATGAGTGAAGTCATTCGAGGGATTGAATTTCAAGGATTTGTATGTGTGTGTTTGTTTTCTTTAAGAACCAACATCAGGAATCTGTTTGTGCTTATCTTGAGTGTGTGAAGTGGAACGAAGGACTTTTTTCCACCTCAAACCTTTGAGTTTAGTCAGCGTTGTGTTGTTGTAGAGAGACATCGGCCTGTATCAGGGTTACTCAACCTTTTCTGACCCGTGACCCCACTTTTAGATAAAAAAGGAAATTCTCACGACCCCAATGTGCATTTATTAAGTTATCATATTCATTTCAGTACGACATTATCATGCATTGTGTTTTTACAAGCATGCATGCAATACTTACAAATTACAAGATTATAGATAATAATTCAAGTTTGAATCTTCTGTATAAGGATTAGATATCAGGGGGACCCAAACCAGGAAGTTGTCAAACTCTGCGATATATATTTTATAAAGAAGACGACGCCGACGACGTCGTTCTCAACCTTTTCTCTCTGTTCAGGTCAGCTGACTATGATTGTGGGCCAGGTGGGTTGTGGGAAATCCTCCCTGCTGCTGGCCATGCTGGGCGAGATGCAGAACATCGACGGAAGAGTCTTCTGGAGCAAGTAAGACATCACGACAACACTTTGTGGAGCAAAGTATTTCATGTGCAACAATCTGATATTACTAAAGACCCAAACCAGCTGTGGGTGTAGACGTGAACAGTAGATTTATTACCTTGTATTGTGTGTTTACCCCACACGATTACAGGATAATACAACGGTAACGTGTGTCTTTAAAGGGATAGTTCAGATGTTTAGTTGTTGTCTTTGCTCATTTCACCTCTCAGAACACGTTAGTTGCTGGTCTACCGCTGCCTCCATCGGTTAGTTATGTTGTTATTTTTCATCTGTGAATCAGGTGGAAAAAACCCTAAATTTCTCCAAGAACGCTAAACGTAACGTACGTATATAGTGTGTAAGTCCTAGTTAAGACGTAGGTGTTGGTGGTGCACTTCAGCTCCTTGTGGCCAGAATGAGTATTACAACAACAGATACTTAAAATCCTGGCAAAAGTGTTTTTAAGTCTTAAACACAGGACATCCGTAGAAACTAGATTGAGACATTTTGGTCCCATTTTTTCTTTCCAGACTTTCAGTTTCGGTTACATTTCTTTCTCACAGGAAGTCTGAATGTCTATCAGACGTCTCTGCTTTGTCTGTAGTTTACATTCCAGGGCTGCACACTAACCTTTGCAGTGTGTGTGTTTGCACATCTGTGCCTCTGTTTATGTGACTGCACACATATATATGTATGTGTGTGTGTGTGTGTGTCTGTGTGTGTGTGTGTGTGTGTGTGGTTTCTTTCTCTTTACCTCCTGCCTTCTTGCCATATCAGGCTGCCTGATTATGAGCCGGTCCACGAGGGGAACATCAGGTACTTTCTCTCTGGTCCCTTCTCTCTGAAACATAATCATTTACACCGACTGTAAACATTCATATTTACTCTTCATCCATTTGTCTCATTAACAGGGCCTTACGTCACGTTTAAGTAGCTTAATGCGCTTGTATTGCCAGCAGGGAAGTGCAGCATAATAACCCAGAACTGATGGAAAGAGTCAGTAGAAAGGCGCTGTGTGGACACAGGCCCAAAGCACTTTAATAGTCAGGAATACACCCAGAGGTTTACCGCAAGAGCTGCACAGCATACATGTTTTTATTGCTGTTAAAAGTCTAAATATCTCAAGACTCTGTGAAGGCCTACTGAATGTATTTAATCCTTTTAACCCCGGGCTTAATTATCACACACACCCTCGTGCTCATGAAATATGAGACGATGTCGAAGAAGCCACTAAACCTAATTACCACAGACAGACAGTGACCGCATCACTTACACGGCTCCTCTTTTCTGGGTGGGAGGGTTCATTTGATTAACAGCTGGCAGGGAGAGACATCGTCATTATCTGGTGTTTTGGCATGAAAACACATCTGTCTTCCTCCCTCTGTCCTCTCTTTCCATGTTTCCTGTGTCTCTCTCCGTGTCTTATGACATATTTCCACTAGTGAACTCAAACATACACACAGTTGATTGCCATTGTACACTCGTTCTAACACAGTGACGTGACTTTGACAGTTGGTCAGGGATGGAGGAGTGTGACGAAGACATCAGGAGGTAGACCTTCTTCCTCCCGTCTCCTGCTTCCTGTTTCAGACCTGCAGTGATCCCCCCCCCATCTGATTTAACTCCATTTCCTCCGTCTTTACTCCGTCAGAAGAAAGTTCTGCACTCAAAGTTCTGTCTTGCAGTATTTCAGGCTGTGTTGTTCATGGACACACACATACAGACTACATTAGCACTCTTATAGTAGTATATAAGTAGTTTTTGTAGTTTTCTGGGTTTTTCCAGGGTACATAGTATTTAATTTTTTACCTTTACTAATATTATGCTTATTATAAGAAGTATAATAATATGAATAATGAATATGCAATACAATAAACTATTCATATAGCACTTATTTCATACACAAAATGCAGCTCAAAATGCTTTACAAAACAAAAATGTAATGATTAAAATAATGTATAATGCATACATTTCAAAATAAGAGGAAAGTAAAATAATAAACGGAATAAAAAAAGATGTTTTAGTCTTTATACAGAATGTATGAAGCTGGAAAGTTCAACTCCTCTGTAAGTCAGAAAAAGAGATGACGAACTCCAAAATGTGTTGGGCGATCTTGGAAAAGAAAACAGGAAGGCAATGCAACCCCTCCAAAATAAAAGGACAATTATCATTTATTATTATTAATATAGTGGCTAAATCATAAAAAAGCCAACATGTTTTTACCACTGTAGGTCTTCATCTTTCCTTCATTGTTGTAACTTCTTCTTGTATGTGTGTGTGTGTGTGTGTGTTCAGGAACGACTGCTTCAGCCTTTAGAGTATCTTCTGCTCATCGCTCTTCTTCTCCCATTGAGATGATTTTTGTTTTTTTTGCGTCCTCTGATCCCATTTTTGTGCTTTTAATGCTGGGAGTCAAACAAACACGCTCTGCTAATAAAGATGTGTTATTTATACACACCAATAGATAGAGATATATACACCTCAAATATGTTTTTATACTTTGTATTCTTTACTTTTTGACTGGGGGAAATACAAACATGCATGATACATGCAGGTATATTTATATAATAATACATATTACACTGTGAAAGAAAGAGTTTATGCATTTTATTGTTTGCTCCACATGAACACATTTGTCTTCTTTATTTCTCTATGTCTGTAGTAGTTCGCTCAGATGTGAAACAACTCTTTAATAATAATGTTAATTAGTGGTTTTACGGTTCGTGTTTCTTATTGAAGTGATAAAGGATAAAACAATTAATTCTGGATTAAAGGGAAATGTCAAATACAAAATAACAGTTTGCATAACAATCTTATTTTACACGTTAGAATACTTTAAGATCTAAAGAACAGCTGAGAGTCTCAGCAGGTTCTCATCACATCCGACTCCCAGCGGAGCGCTGCAGTTGTTGTCGTATTGTTTCTTCTTGTTGGTGTTTTGTATTCGTGTTTGTGTTGCTCGTGTTGTTGTTGATTTTGCAGCGCATCATTAACCCGATCCATTTTTCTCCTTCATTTCTGACAAAGTATTCCTCGTGTTGTGGTGGAGTTTGATATGATCCTCGCTCTCGTCCTCCCTTTTTTTTTAAATGTTTGGGTGTCTCATTTATAAAGCTGGTTAGAACAGGAGTACTGATCTGATATCAGCTCTCCTCATAAATAGTTTTTATGCAACGGATGGAAGTCGGAGCCTCTCGGTATCGTGTTACTCTTGTCATGTTTCAGGATGGAGGTGATGGGTAGAAATACTGAAAGAGGAAATAGATGTTGACACGAATAAACAGCTACAGCACATAAAAGCAGCACACAAAACTGAATAATAATAAAGAGTGCAGGTATAGTAACATTCATGTGACTGTGGAGAGACTATTATTATTCAGATCTGCACTTAATGTACTATTGTACTATCTTCATCAGCCAGTAGCTTCATATCTCAGTCTAATCTAATCTATAGATTCCTTATCTGATAGACCAACAACACGTCCTTGTTATGTATTTATGTTAAACACCTTGTCACATGAATATGATGGCGTATCACTGCAGGAAATGGACCAGTACTCCTGCTCTCTACAGCTTTATGAAGACAGGACTTGTAGTACTAATTCCTCTGTTTGCCTCTGTTTCCCATGATGCACGCAGCAAGAACAGATACTCGGTGGCCTACGCTACCCAGAAGTCCTGGCTGCTCAACGCTACAGTGGAGGAAAACATCACCTTTGGAAGCCCTTTCAATAAACAGAGGTAAAGAACAACAACAACGCACAATTACTGCCAAATTCAGGAGTGAGTTTGTATTATTTTAGAAAAGCTTTAAACTTCGGTGATGCTGCAGGAAGTAGGAAGACATCCAGATGTGTCCTCATCTGTCCCGATGTTGTGTTTTTCAGGTACAAGGCCGTGATAGACGCCTGCTCTCTGCAGCCGGACATCGACCTGCTGCCCTTTGGAGACCAGACGGAGATTGGAGAGAGGGTACGGACACGTTTTCATTATTTACATTCAAAGCTCCTGTTGAGGTTTTTGAATGAAGCTTCGAATAACGTGATCATATTAAATGAGTTAGTCTTTTTTTATTAAGTCAACCGATAGCTCGTCAGTGCTGCCTCCCCTAGAGATAATTATGTTGCATCTCCAGCATGCACTCTCTTCATACCTCAGTCTAATCTTGTTATTCTCTTTAAAATTATTTGATAAATTCTGAGCTTTCACTCTGCGAATAAAGGCATCAATGAAACAACAACACGGAGGCTCTGTAGTCCGAAACCAAGACGGCAAACTTTATTACTCTTTCCAACCTTGACAAAAGCAGCACAGACCAGATCCACTCCTACCGTTCTCCCCTTTCACAATAAAAGCCTTAGACATATCATATTTGCCGACAAGTGTTTTGTATTTTTGTGTGGTTTATTCGCTCCGTCGCCGGTGTGTCTTCAATTGGAAATGTTTGAATCCTCACAGCCACTGCTGGAATCTAATTCTAATCTTTATCTGCAACTGTGATGAATTACAGCGGTTTAAAAACAATGTTCAACGTTATGAATGAAGGTAAGAACTATTCGGCACGGCCATAGCTTTGGTGCTTTACTTACATTTTATTTTTGTGCTTCTGTGATTCAGGGCATCAACCTGAGTGGAGGTCAGAGACAGAGAATCTGTGTGGCCAGAGCTCTCTACCAGAACACCAACATCGTCTTCTTGGTGAGCAAAACCTCTTAAAAAACGTCCTCAAACACTGTTTTTCTGTTTCACATAAGAAGAACGGACTGGTGTTTGTATTGAGTGTTGAATTATTGTTATTATTCCAGAGCACATTAAATACTTTCTGTATGAACAGCGTTGTCGTGCATAGCTGAATTAGATTAACGTCCAGCAGACAGTGACACCCTTGTCTTCGTATCCTACCCCTACACTTCTTTACGACTGATTGTACGATACGACACATAGTTCGTGTCGGCCGTTGGGATGAGGAGGCGTCTGTCTCTCCGCTCTGCCGTCATGTGTTTATCTTTCCGAGCGGTTGCGTCATTTCCTGTTGCCACCTCGAGCTTTAATTGGTGAGCAAGCGTACGTTCCTCACTAAAAGCACTCAGTGTTATTCTGTTATCCGCTCATCGTGTCTGGAGTGAGAACTCTAACGAGGAGGGGATGTTTTTCTTTAATTAACATTATTTCACTATCAAAAGTACAGCTGCTTGGGTTTCTCATATCTGATCTCAGGATTGAATTATGCATCATTATAAAACACATCCAATTATCACAACCGGAGCACAACGCTCTATAGCACGAAGCCACCCAGCGAGAGAGACGTTCAGGGAACGACACGGAGATTTACGTTCTCACGAGTCACGTCAACGTCTCGTGATGAACCGATGATGCTGACTGAGGCTGAGCAGAGACATGGAGATGTTTTATTCTCAATAAACAGGGTTCACCTCAAGGTTCTGGTAGTTCTTTTGTGGGTTTTCCATCAGAGTCTGTTTTGTTCCTCAACAGTTCTTAATATTTGAAAATAAAAAAACAGGTTTATTTTTCATTCCTGCTGGTCTGAAAACCATCTCGTACTAGAAAAGTACAAAAACCTGTTCAATACATTTTGCGATATTTCCGCACAGGGACACATTAGTCTCCAAAGGTTCCTGATTTCCTCCAAAGAATCTGAAGAAGAACTTGATGCTCCTGGTGTTTCTAAGTTACATGAATTTGTTACATAGACCCACACGAGAAGACGTCATTGGAAACTGTTTGGAGAAAGTGATTGGATGAACCATCTGTCAATCACTTCAACCAATGAGATCAAAAGAAAGTGACAAGACCCTAATAGTCGATAAACAGTAGACATGCCGAGGTGAGATCTCAGTGAGTCTTCATCATCTTCCTCCCACACGGGAGTTCCTCTACTGATGATGAACGTCTCCTGATTCTGCTGCTTCAAAGTAAAAGCTTTTATAGAAGAAAATGACCTTTAATGTGTAGGAGAACGCATTCATCACTGAATTAGCAGAGCTTTGTTAGCAGCTCTTCTATTAAGTCTATTAATACTGCAGGGAGGAAGAGGAAGTCCTCTTGTTTATTCTTGTTGTTGGCGTTATAAACCTGCTTCATTCACACTTTAAAACTCGCCGTTCTTCTCTGTCTCGCGTCTCGTCTTGTAGGACGATCCCTTCTCAGCGCTGGACATCCACCTCAGCGATCACCTGATGCAGGAAGGGATCCTCAAGTTCCTGCAGGATGATAAACGGACTGTCGTCCTGGTCACCCATAAACTGCAGTACCTCATACATGCAGACTGGGTCAGAACACCTCAAATACATGACTCTTCTGTTCTATGGATCATGTGCAGTAGTTTCAACTTCTTTCTTTTCTTTGTGTGTGTCTTTTCCAGATTATAGCGATGAAGGACGGCTCTGTGCTGAGAGAAGGAACTCTGAAAGACATCCAGACTCATGACATTGAGCTTTATGAACACTGGAAGACCCTGATGAACAGACAGGACCACGGGCTGGAGAAGGTAATGCTTCCAACTTAAGATACAAACAACAGCAGCTCCTCCAAATCTGGAGACATCAAGCTCTCTACATTGATGTTTCTATTGTGTCTCTGTATGCAGGACATACAGCAGGACAGTCAAACCACACTGGAGAGGAAAACACTGAGGAGAGCGTTCTACTCCAGAGAGGCCAAGAACCAAATGGACGATGAGGATGAAGGTAATGGATTCACCACTATTTATATATATATATATATATATATTTTAGGGTAAGACTTAATTACTTAATTAATTACTCTTATTTTAAGGTTTAGAAGGTAAAACTTGTTAAAAAGAGATTAAATGTTTGATTGAATCACATGTCATATTTAATACTTGATTCTTGTCCTATCAGAGGAAGAAGAGGAGGAAGAAGACGACGACAACATGTCAACAACCACTAACAGAAGATCAAAGATCCCATGGAGGGTAATTACTGTCAATCACTGTGTAGCCCCGCCCTAAAGCATCCCCTGCTTTATGGTCTGTGTGACTCTAAATGGACCATCATGTACTAAATGAACATCATGCTGTATTGAAGAAGACTTGAAACTAGAGATTGAGACCATAAACTCATGTTCACAATGTTTACTGAGGTAATAAATCAAGAGAGAAGTAGAGTCATTTTCTCATAGACTTCTATACAACCAGAGGAGTCGCCCCCTGGTGGACACTAGAGAGAATGCAGCATCTGTCCACAGACATACAACACCTGGCAAACAGCAAACACACAAAGTGAAAACAGCTACTAATAAAGATGAATCAATAATCTGCAGTATCAGTGACATCACTTCTTAATATTCGTGCAGCTACATGTTGAATCTGCCGTCCGTTCATCCGTCTGTTGTGATCTCTTCTTCTCCTCAGGTGTGCTGGTGTTACATGTCCTCCGGTGGGTTCTTCATGGTCTTCCTGATGGTGTCCTCCAAGCTTCTCAAGCACTCCGTCATTGTTGCAATCGACTACTGGTTGGCAATCTGGACCTCCAAAACCAACGGGACCATCGGCAACGGGACCATCGGCAACGGGACCTTCGGCAACGAGACCTTCGGCAACGAGACCTTCGGCAACGGCACAGATCCCGCCAAGGTATGATGTCTCCGACGAGGGATTTCCTCATACAGGCTTTTTAAAGTTTAAGAAAAATGTTTGCACATTGTATTGTTTGACTGTGTGTGTGTGTGTGTGTGTGTGTGTGTGTGTGTGTGTGTGTGTGTGTGTGACCCACAGGACGACTACCACTACCTGCTGGTGTTCACCACCCTGTGTGCGGCTGGCATCACGTTGTGCCTCATCACCTCTCTCACTGTGGAGTTTCTGGGTCTATCTGCAGCCACCAACCTGCACCACAACCTGCTCAACAAGATCATCCACGCTCCCATCAGGTGCACACACACACACACACACACACACACACACACACACACACACACGGCCAGAACACGTCCATGCACACACTCGTGCTCTGCATCCTCTCACATGTGGTAGAATAGTGTTTTGGGGTAAAATTGTTGACACAGGGAGCTTTAAAGGGGACGAGACAAGTCCCGTCTCTAAGGAAACACTCTGCACTTGACCTGGTTTTCTGAGCTCGTCCTCTCTCTCTGTGCCGGCTGAGTGTGTTTTTTCCGACGCCGTCAGTAAGTAACCACAGTGAACCAAGTACGGTCACATTTACACACGTGTGTACAGGTCTGTGCCGCATGTGTCGGGGGAGTGAAGAAGACATAAAGTCACAACTGCAAGTCCAAAATCAAAAGGTCTTGGAGGAAGAACCTTAAAAACATCTGGAACTACTAACGTAATCAGACAGTTATTATATATTGTAATTCACAGCTAAAGTTCACTGAGGTTGCGTTGACTTGCGTGATGCGTTCAAGCTCTACTCTGTAAAAAATGAGCATTGGGCGACTCTGACTCTACTTCTCTCTTGATTTATTACCTCAGTAAACATTGTAAACATGAGTTTATGGTCTCAATTTCTAGTTTCAAGTCTTCTTCAATACAGCATGATGTTCATTTAGTAAATTATGGTCCATTTAGAGTCAAACAGACCATAAAGCAGGGGATGCTTTAGGGCGGGGCTACACGGTGATTGACAGGTCTCTAATAGAGACGCATACGGCGTCTCTACGTCACTCCTCAGTCCAGATACGGTCAAATGTCATCTTGTTAAATGTAGTTTTTGGCGAGAAACTTGAGTAAATCCAGGAGATATTTTCACAGCAATTTAAAATAGAAATTAGAGATGAAACTACTAGGCCTGGTAAGTTATATGACCTTTTATTATTAAATGTCAGAGCTGAGAAAAACATCTGAAATGTGATTAAGAGGTAATTTGATGCATTTCTCTCAGGTTCTTTGACATCACTCCTCTGGGGCAGATCCTCAACAGATTCTCCGCTGACACCAACATCATCGACCAGGTGAGCAGAGCCAACGTGACGATGAAGAAGAAGAAGAAGAACATGAATTAAAATCTGACTTCCCTCTCTGTTATTCTCTCAGCACATTCCTCCAACGCTGGAGTCCCTGACGAGGTCCACGCTGCTCTGTCTGTCGGCCATCGGGGTCATTTCCTCCATCACTCCGGCTTTCCTCATCGCCTTGGTTCCCCTGGCGGTGGCCTTCTACTTCATCCAGAAGTACTTCCGGGTGGCCTCTAAGTGAGTCATTACAGTTATCATTAAGTGTGTAATACATGTCCGTGCGTACATAAATAAGTACATATACACTGAAACACTGAATACTTTCTGTCTCTCCCTCAGGGACCTCCAGGACCTGGATGACTCCACACAGCTTCCTCTGCTCTGCCACTTCTCTGAGACCGCTGAAGGTCTCACCACAATAAGAGCATTCAGGTACAACACACACACACACACACACACACACACACACACTTACACCCTGTCTTCACTGGACGTATTTCAGCTGTAGACACTTTTATAATTGATTAATAATACATGATGAGGATATATGTAAGTGATAGTAGCTGCAGTATAATGATGTTAGCAGTACTTCTCTTTGTAGCAGTACTATTAGTGTTCGTCGTTGTACTTTTACTTCTCCAGCCTGCGTTGTACTCGTGGTCTTATTGGTGGAATCAGCAGCATCAGTATCTTTGTATTTCTGTCTCCACTCTCGTTCCCAGCGTCGCTGTAATCCAACATTAAACAGCTCTCACGCTGTTTTTCTCCTCTCCTCCCCGAGGACTTCCTCACACACAAATATACAAACACTGAGAGACACACACACACACACACACAAAACACACACACACACATACACGCACACAGAAACAGTGAATCTGGTGTTTTAGACAGATTCTTGGCAATCATGGGATGGTTCCCATTATCATGATCCACTGGTCTCCCTCCAAACCAAGTCTGGTTCAGAACGCAGACGATGATGAAAACCTTCATACTTCCTGTTTGCACGTTTGTCCACTATCACATGTGGTGTGTGTACTTATACTGTTTCAGCAGCCGAATGCAAACGCCAACAGCTTTGCATGTTTTAGATAGGAGGAAGTTTTTGAGTGTGTTATGCTTTATGTGTGTTTCAGACACGAGGCTCGATTCAAACAACGTATGCTGGAGCTGACGGACACCAACAACACGGCCTACCTGTTCCTGTCCGCTGCCAACCGCTGGCTGGAGGTCCGAACGGTGAGAAACTGTTTCCTGAATAAATTCACGTGGCCGGATGATTATGATTATGTTTCTATAAGTGAACACGTCCTCTCCTTCTCTTTGCAGGACTACCTCGGAGCAGTGATCGTGCTGGCAGCAGCAGGAGCCTCCATCTGGTTCCCAAGCATCGGTTTGGCTTCTGGAGGCCTCGTGGGCCTCGGACTCACGTACGCCCTCACGGTGAGTTCTCTGGTCTGATGTTCCATCACACATAACTTCAACCGTTCCTGCACCTACGTCTACCTTTCCTACATCTCACTAGTTGTACCTCTCTAGACTGATGTCATTTGTTGTACTTTTAAAGGACATTTAAAGTCACCTTTTTTTAGCAACTGAAAATAATAAACTCATAATTATGAGGCTTTAAATGGCTTTTAAGATACTTGATTTCAGGTCATAGTCGTGCTTACATGGTGTGTACCACAGACTGACCCAATTTAAACCAGTTGTGTTTTGTGGTTCTGGCACATCGGCGAGTGCTCGACGTTAGATTAATAAAATAGGAAATTCAATTTACATGGAAAGAAAATGAATCAATTACAGGTAGAAAAAGGACTGCTGGTTGGTTTAAAGGTATAATACTGTATATTTCGGTTTGCGTGTCCCTCTGTAGGTCACCAACTACCTGAACTGGGTTGTGAGGAACCTCGCAGACCTGGAGGTCCAGATGGCCGCCGTGAAGAAGGTCAACAGCTTCCTGGGCACCGAGTCGGAGAACTACGAGGGAACTATGGGTAACTGAGTTTTGGATTTTTTTTGGGGTGAACTGTCCCTTTAAATCCTGAAGTCGTCTCAGACAAATGATCCGACTTGGCAGAACTTGTGAAAATTCAGCATCTCACTGGGTTTTGACCAAATGATAAGAAGAGAACCACATCGTTTGGTTATTATTCACTTGTCAGAATTAATAACTCAGACAGTAAAACGAAGCCAAAACATTGTGAAAGACCTCATTCCTTCATGTTCTAATACATCTGCTAAAACCCCGGTAACCTTCCACTAGCATCAGTTAAACAAACTGCAGTATAACAGATGAAGTAAGTAGTTTAGAAGTTAAACGTGCACACACACATTTAGACATTAAATCACAAATTATACTCACACAAGATCTCAAAGTGAAGTAAAAAGAGACAAAAGTTGTGTTGACGTCTTCTGATTTATAGAGAGGAACAGAATGACCTGATGTAACTGTACTGTGTGTGTGTGTGTGCGTGTGTGTGTGTGTGTGTGTGTGTGTGTGTGTAACAGTTTTATCTTTTGCTTAACAGTCCAGAAGTTGTATTTTGGGTTTATGGGACGTGCTGGAATTCTTTCCTGACAGGACTCTGATAACACAACATAGAGACTTTTTTATTGTTTAACGTTTATTTCGGCGTAGTGCCGATCAGTTTAATGATAACTAACCGAAACAAATCAAATCCAAACAAATCAAAATCTTTCTTTCTTTAAATGAGACAGAGCGGCTATTTTGGGAAACATAACCAAAGAAATTCCTGAGTTTGAAGGATGGCTGAGAAAAAAACAACAAAGAAAAGAAAAGAAGAAAGTAAAAGAGAGACTCGCACTTTATCTTCACAGATTAAAATATTTAAAAAGGTGAAGTGGATTTCCCATCTCTGTGACTTACAGTAAATAATCTCTGAGTGTCAGAGAACAGAAACGTTCTTTCTCTCTGACATCATGGAAGCTTCCAGCTAATTGATAAAAATAAGAAAAGAAAATAGGGAGGAAGAAACCAAAAGAATCCTTTGAGCCGAACTATGAACGTAGACTAACAGACAGTGGTCTGTGTGTCTCTCAGTGATGAACCCGGTGTGTGTTTCTGTCCCTGCAGACGCCTCTCAGGTGCCCGAGAACTGGCCCCAGGACGGCGAGATAAAGATCCAGGACCTGTGTGTGCGCTACGATCCAATGCTCAAACCGGTGCTCAAACACGTCAACATGTACATCGAGCCGGGCCAGAAGGTAATTAGCACGAAGCCGTGAACGATGGAGAGTAATGTTGTGTGTTGATATTCTTTTAAGTGCAGTCTGGAATGGACGGAAAATAAGAAAACTGGGAGAAAAGTGAACTTTTTCTTTGAAGTCGCACTCGAGTGTCTCCGTTAAGCTGTGAAGTGACACTCGGGTGTCCACACTCGGCGTGTAGCTGCCGCTCTGTTGGCACACAGGTGTCCGATGTCTCACGGCGGTGACACAGTGAAGCTTATTGCCTGTCTCACCTGCTCCTCCCGTCGTAGGTGGGGATCTGCGGTCGCACTGGCAGCGGGAAGTCCTCTCTGTCGCTGGCCTTTTTCAACATGGTGGATATGTTTGAAGGTGGGTCTGAGAGAGAGAGAGAGAGAGAGAGAGAGAGAGAGAGAGAGAGAGAGAGTTTTCATTTCCCACTTCTTTCATCTGCTTCGCTCTTTCTTTGTCGAGTATGCTTATGTCTCATTAAAGGGAGTGATTCTTAAGATAATGTTTGGGAGCTTTGCCGAAAAAGATTTCCCTCCGGGTTTGTTTTTCTTGAGGAGTTCTGGACCTTCAGTTCTACTTTACCCCAAAAAAACCAACTCGTTTTGTCTTTGAATTGTCTCGTTCCTTCTCGAGCACTTCCTGTGATCCACTTATGAGATAAAGAAGACACTTCAGGGCACTTATATGTTCTTAAATAGTTACAGAGATGATCACGTGATAGTTGAAAGACCTTCACAGTCCTCCTGTATGCATCCCTTGCTGTTTTTACTACTAGCGACAAATTTAGCGTCTTTTTCAGACCGTCACAATAAAAGTAAGAAATATATTCAAATATATGATACTGTGATTTATTCCCAAACCTGCAACCGACTCAACCGCTAAGCTTCATGCAAATGAATGTGTGCTGACGTCACAACGAAGAGTTTTGTTGAAAAATATTAGAATAAATCAGCCTCATTTTAACAGGATCAGGAGGCAAAGAGGTTTGGAACCACCAGAGCAGATCTTCCTAAACGTAGACAATGAAACATGACATTTACACAAACATGTGACGCTGTCTGAACCCAAACACAGCAGGCTGAGGTGATCTAACAGCAGGAATCTCAATGGGTTTTGGTCAAACTAAATCACTACTGGGGGTAAATTAGTCAAATAGATTCACTTTAAAAGACGTTCTGCATCATCTCTAAACGTTAAAGTAAAGTATTGCACGTTTATGCTGGAAAATAATGTTTATTAAAACGTCCCTCCTTTCTTTTCAGCTCCTTCTAAACACTGGTGCAGGTCTCGTTTTGTTCTCCGTGTGCGTTGAATACCTGACGAGAGGACCTGAAGTAGACTCTTCTATCAGAGGATTAAAATAAGGACATAACAAATGACGTGGCCCGTTTTTTCGTGCATTCGCCTCCAGACTCCGGCTCTTGTTTCTTCAAGACGGCCGTCACGAAGTCCTAAAACTGTCTTTCTTTATTTATTGAATTTAGAAAAGCGAATCGTCGGCAGCATTTCCTTATAAAGCAGTGAAATAAAAGCAGAGCGGCGTTCCTGGTGATCGCTCTCCCGACTGAACTGTACATTCTGGATTTCATTGTCCCCAAAAATACAACATTGTATCCGACAGAACATAAATATTTATCTAAGACGTTGCAGCATGAGCGAGTAAAGGAGTTTTAAGTTTTAACGACAAATTAAAATGGATTATTTCAGTTTAAAAATGGCAGATAAGTGTTCAACCGTACAGGACAAAATGCCCATCCTGTTCTGTTTTGGGGGGTTTTGTTGATCAGCAACAGGTGTTTTTCAGTCGTACACACACACAGTCACATCTGTGAAGGCAGTTAATCGTAAATATAAAGGCCAAAGCAGTGTTATTGAAGTATTTAGCCTGGTGATGTATTAGCTCTGCACGGGGCATCTGTGTTGGCTGCTCCCATTAATAGCTCCACTCCTCCGGGATAAAGCATTTTAGTTTTATGATTGTTTATTGTTTAGAGTACAGACGGTCGTAGCTCAAAGAGAAATGAGCGTCGTAGGTTTCAGACACAGTAGTGCTGAAACGATTACTCCACATTCCATCCAAAAAACGCTACAAATGTGCTAAACAAGCTAAATAATCTTAGCGTCACTTGGGTGTTGACGACTACTGTTACGTCTGGATGCACCTTTATGGGCTGTAGATATGGAATAATACTTAACATTCTGTTGGTGCTTTTGATGTGAGCGTACGTTTGCCTGTTTGCAGGGAAGATCGTCATCGATGGGATCGACATCTGTAAGCTTCCTCTGCAGACCCTCAGGTCCAGACTCTCCATCATCCTCCAGGACCCTGTGTTGTTTAGCGGATCCATAAGGTGCACGAAACGTCTCTGTTTCCGTTTTAATGACCCCAACATTTGTGAAGTATCACCGTGTGAAAGCTCTTACTGTCTCGGGGCTTCGGGGCTCTGCAGACTAACAGTGACTCCAGTTCATTTGTGCTGCTGGAGACGCTCTTTGTTAAATAAATCTCTGTAGTTATATCAAAGAAACCCAAACTGCAGCAACAAGTGAACAACCGACGAACAGGAAAACGAACTGTTCCGTCCTGAGAGACATCTTGTCACATGACGACACAACATCCCAGCTGTGGGGTTAGCAGTTGAAACCACAGTGGGAACTCTGGCTCGGACCTAATCTGACTTTTGTCACAGACGTCACGGACGGAGGAGGTCGTCCTCCGTCTCCTTCTTCTTCTTCTCCTGACATACACACTCACAACCTCCGTGTGTTTATGTTACCAGACGATACAGTGACTCTCTGTTTGTTATAAAAGACAAAGAGCATGTGCTATTTGTTTGGACAGATATGTCGCTCCACATAATTGTGTGAGTGAGTGAGTGAGTGTGTGTGTGTGTGTGTGTGTGTGTGTGTGTGTGTGTCTTGGCGTTTCCACCGGCTCTTGTTTACGTGAACGTAAGCTCGGGGTGAATGGTCGACAGTAACTGTTTCACACTGTTATCTTAGATGTTTCTTTTATGTTCTGACTCTGCTGCACAGAATTAAGAGAAGTTTAATGTTGACAATAAACAAATTGAATTAAGCTGTTAAATTAACAACAGTAACCTTAATTACCTCTTTGTATGACACACACACATAATAATAGAACCACGCAGTCCATTCTTTACTCTAATATTTCATCTGTTTTTGCTACATTTTCTCTATTTTCTCCCAATTTAGAATGTAAAGTAGGTAAATTGCATCATTTAATGTCTTATCTAAGGAGACATGCAGGTAAATAAACACTTTTAAATGAAGTTAGCTTAAAGTTCACTGACCTCCAAGTCTCTCCGTCGGCTATTCAGTCGTAGACGCCTCTGATCTCACCAAACTCTGTGCTTTTTTTAATCCCTTTTTTGGTTATTTTAGCATTAAATTCACTGCAAATGAACAGCTCCTGGCTGTCAAAGACTAAATCAATCCGTGCAAGTTGGTGGAAAAAATCCTCCGGTTTGTCCAGTCTTTATAAGTCTCTTCAGGTTTGTCCCGTGCTCACCGGGTGGTGCATTAAATCAATAATGAATACATTTAAATGCAAGCACTGTTACTCTACTTCTCTCAATGCACAATAACTCTAACCCTGACTAAACATAACTTACACTAAATACATCATTAACTTATGCTTCAGCTCGGCACCTTCTGTCATTACAAACACACCAACTCCAGTTTAAATCGTGTCCGCCTCGTTGCAGGTTTAATCTCGATCCAGAGAGGACGTGCACCGACGATCGGCTCTGGGAGGCGCTGGAGATCGCTCAGTTGAAGAACATGGTGAAGGCGCTGCCTGGAGGACTCGGTACTCAAACACATCTCAACATAGAGTTGGATTTAATGCACCAAAATACATTTATTTGCTTAATACTTTTACGGTTTAACTGAATGCGTGTCTGTCTGAGTCCAGATGCTGTCGTGAACGAAGGTGGAGAGAACTTCAGCGTCGGTCAGAGGCAGCTCTTCTGTCTGGCTCGAGCTTTTGTCAGAAAGAGCAGCATCCTCATCATGGACGAGGCCACGGCGTCCATAGACATGGCCACGGTGTGTGTTTACGTGTGTGATGACAGATGATGTGCGTTTCTCTCAGACCGTAGATCACCTACAGATGCTTAAGAGATCTTGTTGGGGTTTGTGTAGTCTCATCATTGTCATTCATTTTTACTAATTTCTCATTTGGTTGAATGTAATAAGTTCATTACATGAAATATATAATACTAACCAACAATACAATAGTCCACGTACGACAGCAGAATGCTTTTTACATACGAATGCGTAATAATAACGCTTAATATCTTTTTTCTTCCTTGCAGGAGAACATCTTACAAAAAGTCGTGATGACTGCGTTTGCAGACAGAACAGTCGTCACGATCGCAGTAAGTGCGTCTACGAGGTTTATTTGAAGCAGAATACTGACGAGCTCCGGATGCAGACATGTGGCTTCATGTGCATCCTTTGCATTATATTTTTCCTTTCCTGCACCTTTTTCCCCTTTTTCACACTGACTGTTCTTCCACACAGAATGTAATATCGTTAATATTACAGATGCATTTAGGGTCCTAAATGTGAAGTCAGTCCTCTTTTGCCTTTTCTTTCACTTATCTGCTTTCCTTTTTCTGACTTTCTGTCTCTCTGTTATACCGTCTTGTCCTCTTTCTTCCACCCTTTCTACATTTCTCTCTCCCCTCCCCCCCCCCCCATGTTTCCATCCTTCCCCCTGTCTTCCTCTTTGACCCTCCGTCCTGCCGCCAGCACCGCGTGGCCTCTATCTTGAACGCCGAGCAGGTGTTGGTCTTCTCCTCGGGGATCTTGGTGGAAAAGGACTCGGGTCCCAACCTGCTAGCACAGGAGGACAGCCTCTTCAGTGTGCTAGTGAGGACTCACAAGTAGACCCGGATCAGCACAGACCACTTTGGCTCTGCCCGGTATTTCCTCTTCCTTCCATTTTTTCCACCTGTTTCTCTGTTTTCCCTTCTTCTCCTGGCTGAGTCAGAGAGTCTGGGTCTGCTGAAGCCTTACTGCCTTACAGCCTTACAGTTGACTGGTTTATATTTTTGATATTGTGTATATTTGGACTGCAACTGCTGCACAAAATAAGACTTAAATGTAGTTTAAAAAATAAAAAAATAGTTTTTATTTTTATTTTTTAAACTACATTTAAGTCTTTTTTCGTCCATAATATTGCGTGTTGATATCGTCACACTTGGTGTTTATTGCCGCCTCGTCATCGTCTCATCTTAGCCATGGAAATAAAAAGGGGTGTTACCAAGCAAACTTAGTTATAGTTTTCGTTAACAAACTTCTCACTTGTCCCAGCAGCTTAGCCTTAAAATAACAAGTCTCTGAAACAGAAAGGGCAACGTCATCTGCAAAGAGACGGAGGTCCCATCCTAATATCTTAGATCTGGACTGTGTCTGGAACTTTAATTATTTTATTTCAGTATTTATTTTATTGCAGCAAGTTTAGGAGGAAGTGTCAGTCGCACGAGCTATATGACACATCTTTATAATAACTACAGGGCTGTCAGGGAAGTCATTACATTATTTTCAAACTGTAAAAAAAGACAAATGAATACTGAAAACAAGGCGTTAAGAGCTGATGGCTCAATCGTATGGCCATATATATATATTTTTTTAATTAACATTACCTGACAGTCACTGTTGCTTTGTGTTCCCAGCACCGCGTCCACACCATCCTAACAGCCGACCTGGTCATCGTGATGAAGCGAGGGAACATTTTGGAGTACGACAAACCGGAGACTCTTCTGGAGCAGGAGGACGGGATGTTCGCTTCATTCGTCAGGGCGGACATGTAGACACACGAGTCCTTCAGCGACGCCCGACCACTAGAGGACCGATCAGTTGTTTGATCTGCTTCTTTCTCTCTTTTTCCACGTAGAGTTGTTTTCTTTACGAGGCGGACGGACCTCTGAGAAGCTACAACACTCCAGTGAAGCCAATCATGTGTGTCTTGAATTCACTGGATAAACAGATCCAGAAACATTATCAATCACCGCTTGATATATTTAAACAGTTGTACTTGAATCATTCAGTCACTCAGCCAATTAAATACTGCCTTTTTGTTGTTTTTAGAAATTACATGTAGAAACACCAAATATCATTTAAATGATAAACCAGTTCATAAATCAGTTTATCCAGATTTTATATTGGAAATTAGCAAAATTCACATATCAAGAGAGTCAATGGAGGAATTCTTTGATCACTGACTTTTAAGCAACCAGTATTAAGAGTTAGTTAAAAATACAGATGTCTGTGTCTCTAAATAGCTAATTGATCATGCTAATGAATAGATCAGACACGCCCATTTTAATGGGATTTGTTGACAATAAGAACAATATAGAATTTCTCCAGACTTCTGCTTTAAGTTCAAGGACTCCCACCGATAAGAAGTGTATTCAAAATACGATGTAGTTTTTATTTCAGGTGTTTTTTAAGGCAGTATTTAAAATGAGTGCGGTGACACTCACTGTATCTGTGGTCATTTAGACCGACAGAGTTTTTAATTGGATAGTTTTAGATTGAGCTGAACCTTTAGGTCCTTTAAGGATCATTATGAACCAAAAAAACACTTCAAAAGTCTTTAATTATCTTGTTATACATATTTGTTACATTTATTTTAAACATATGCACAACACGTATCAGTTTTTGTTAATCTTTAGCACTTGTATTATGCAATGATAAGAATGGGAGAAACTTGTATTTAAAGTAATTTTTTAAACAACTGAATGTTGGTTCTGTGCTCTGCATACATGAATGCACCGTGCAGTCTCTCACTGTAAAGGATTTTGATAATATGTTCTTATATTTTAGACCCTGGTGTATTTACTACATTTTTAGAAGGAAGCTGACAGAACTGACACTCAATATTTGTACCCGATGCTGCGTTCACGTCAGACGTTTGAGAAGATCAGGACGATGTCTCCGAACTGCAACTTTTGGATCGTTAAAAAATGTCTCCTGAACAAGTGCGACAAAGGAAGTCAACATCCGAGGATTTACTGCTGTTTTCGATGCCTGTTTTGAATGAATTCTGCAACTTGTGATGCCAAAAAGGAGACATTAAAACCTTAAAATCTCCTCGTCCTACTTGGATTCACCACCAGGAGGTCGACCTGTGTGTCTTCTCCCAGTGCTTGGGAAACATTTCCTTGGGACAAGATTAGCAGACGTCTCTGATGCAACAGCAAAGAGGAGGCATCCAATTTTACGACCAACTAACTACCAAATATTCCAGAATCACATCCAAATCTGCTTTTTTCACACAGAAAACAAGCAACTCTGTTGAATACAACAGCGTATTAGGGGCCATTGTAGGTACAGAATTAAAAATACAAAACATTACGGAGCCAGGGGAGGGGGGTAATAATTGTGACATTAATATCAGATAATTTCAGAGTTTTATAATCTTTATAATCTCAGAGAATATCTTAGTTTTCTCTCTAAATATAACTCCTCTTCTGGCTCCGGAAGTTATTTATTTTGACCTTCAACACGTTGTCACAGTTTACTTTATTGCATTTAGAAAAAAGTCCAACCTGAACTGTCTCTTCATCGGGTACAGAGTTATTGTTTTTCAAGTTGAATCAATTTAAGGATAAACTTGTTGAAGATTTGTGCATTTTTCGACTTGGCAAGCAAAGACAGCGAGAACACACGGTGTCCATGTAACCACACTTGTAGTTTTATTTTTGTGATTTAGAATTTATCGCATTTGAAGAAGATAATTGTATTTAGTAAATTAAAACAATGTAAGAAATGACCTAACAGTGAGAGTAGAAAATGCTTCAGTTAAATGTGAGCAAACACGAGTATGAAAGCAGTTACATTTAGCAGAATGTGGATGTTTTATTTGCGGTGTACGTTCACCTGTGCTCTGTTCTATCGGCTGTATTTCTGTGACACTAGTACGAACACTGAAGGGTGTCGCGGCTCAGACTGAAGTCGTGAACCCGCTGTCTGTCTGCGCTCGTGCTTTGCTGAACTTATTATCCTCGGGGACAATAGCTGGCCAGCGTGAGCTCCCTTTAACTCCAGAGATGTTTAATGGTTATTGTGGGCTGAGGAAGAGTTGATTTAAACAGTTCTTTAGAGCTCAAACGTAAAACTTAAAGCTGCATTAATCGATATATATTCTACTGAAAGTGAACCTAATGGCTGCATGTAAAATTATCTCCAACTCCGCAGTTTTTTAGTGAATTTGGTGTTTTGTTTTCCAGCCCACATATTGTTAATATTATTACCCGACAGACGAGAGTTACAACTATATTTAGAACAAAGACAGATTTAAAAGAACACAACTCAGTTTCAACAAAGTTTAAACAAAACAACGTCAGATGTTGTGTTTTCAGTTTGTTCTGCTGCCCCCAAGTGGCCCAAAAAATATCACAGAATGGTATTCCAGTGAGGGTCGGGGCATCCAAACCTTTCCTTTAAGTTTTGGGATTTTCATCACAAACGAAATATATTCTGATTCTCTCTCTGGCGGAGAGTTTTATGACACCGCTCTCATATCTGGAGCTACAGCGGCTCGTTAGCTTAGCTTAGCACAAAGACCAGATCCAGGTAGAAACAGCTAGCCTGCTAAAGCTCACCGATTAACAGACAATATCCTGTTTGTTTAATTTGTACTAAAGTGTGAAAATGATAGCAATAAACGATAGCAGCCAGTGTGCTGCATTAAACAAACTGCAAATTAAATTAAAAGTTATTAACATTTTGTTTATTAACACGTTTTTACTAGAATCACTCGTCCCGTCTCTGTGGGAGCGGCGCTATTGTCCCTTTTGTATTATTCTAGTGGATTATACTCACTTAGCTTTTTACATGAGATTTTAAAATGACTTCGTACTGTACGGACTAAATGCCAAATAGAAATTGTTTTGCAAGAATTTCAGTGTTTTTTATTTAGTTTTTTTTAAAGATATGTTTCATCTCAAGAAGGTGTTTTTTATGTTTTTTTTCCTCCACTACACAAACTCGTTCTTTTACATATTTCATCTTTTTTGTCCTCTTCAGTTACTCCAGCTCCTCCTCTCTTAATGACCGAGTGTTTTTCTTGGTTATTTGACCCGGCAACAAGTACTTTTCATAAATCTCTCGTTTTTACTGCACGTGTGTGTTTGTACTTGAACCTGCTAATAATTTATCTTTGAAACAATGTTGGAGGATGGAATGTTATTTACTTTTATACCGTGTTTGAACTCAGAAAACACAGATTTAACTAGTTTAATGAAAGGCTTTTTAACATCTTATATCCCATCTTTTACTTAATGTTTCATATTTTAAATACAGCACAAATGTGGGATAATTAAGGGTTAACAGTGACTGTGCACGTAACACAGAGTGAACATTACACACACACACACACACACACACATATCAGACTGCTCTCATGAATGCACATTTAAATGCAACATAAATACCAGATTTTTACAAGTAAAGGTTGATTTCTTTTGTATTCTTAATGTTTGTAAGTGTACATTCTGTATATCCAAGACTTTTTAAACATATATCACAAATTATTATTATGTGTGCCTCATTTTTTTTTACTCTTGAAATGACAATAAAAATGGTTTTGAGTGAAATGAGCCTTTTTTTTTATTTCTCAATAAACGTGCAGCACTTGACTCTCAACACATCGACTGATATACGATGTGTTGCTAAATGACGCCCCCTAGTGGCCACGTTACACATTTCTAGATAATAATTCCACTGTGTTTGGAATTTAAAATCAGGGAATTAAGAAATAAAATGACAATTTCAGTCACAATGTCAAGAAGTATCTCAAAAAGCAACATTATTTCAGTATATTTAAAGTATTTATATTTATTTTTCTATCACAATGGCAGCAGAATTTGAAACTACTTTTCATTTAACTGTTTTTATTTAATTGTTATAAAACAAAGCAGCATAAACAAAAGTAAAATATATGGTTTTATTTGATCTATATTGTTATATTTATTAACAACTGACAATTCAGTCTATGTATAATTGTATAGAAAGCTCGTTGAGTGCCGTGAGACTATTTCTATATCTTGTCTAATTCATACATTTGTCTGTATTGTTTGCACAGTTTTTACTAGATAATTGTTCTGGATGATCTGAAGAGGGAAACACTGACTTCAAATCATGTTTGAAGTCATTCTAGCCTTTATGAATATGCAAATTAAAAAGGATAAATATCAACTTTTAGCTATTAATTCATATTTCACAGGCAATAAAAGGCTGTAGGTTCAGCAGCCTAATAATTAAATCCTGTATGACTATAAACAATATAAAGTCCAATTTACAACCTGATTGAAAGCATAATTAGATACAGAATACCCCATTAAACTATAATAATATAACATAATAGTGTTTAAAACTTCAAATGTTCACATCTAGTGTAAGGATAAGTAAGGATGAATGTGGATATGTCAAGGAAATGAGTCCTAAAATAACTTAATTGATCATCTAACATTGTTAATTAAGGGGCTTAATGAATGTTTGAGCTCAGGACACTTTATTTAAGACAAAAGTAAAAAGTAATGTGCATGTATTGATACTTGAATGAAGTTTCGATTCGGTTCGTTTGACTGGAAACGTCGTGTTTTCCGACGGCCCTTGAAGGCAGCAGCCCCCTGGTCTGAGCGGGTCTGGACTCTGGAAGCTGGACTACGTCAACAGGAGGAGAGGAGACCGTCCCAGCCCTCAGAGCTCCGAAACATCCTCCAAATGTCCTCACAAGGAAAGGAGTTCGTGCGTCTTTGAGCGGCTTTTTTTCTTCCTCCCCTGCACGTGGACATGGTGCACCCGCGCGCAAAGACGCACTGAAGTCGGACTAAAAAAAGAAGTAGCTTTGACACTTTTTTTTTTTTTTTTTGTCAAGCAGCAGAAGATGTTGGCGAGAAAAAGCATCATCCCGGAGGAGTTCGGTCTGCCGGGCCTCGCCTCGCGGATGCCCCGCAAGCCGGTGTTCAGGGACCGCGTGAACAAAGCGCGCTTCATCGCCAAAAACGGCTCGTGCAACCTGGCGCACAAGAACATCCGCGAGCAGGGCCGATTCCTGCAGGACGTGTTCACGACGCTGGTGGACCTGAAGTGGCGCTTCACGCTGGTCATCTTCACCACCACGTTCGTCAGCAGTTGGCTGCTGTTCGCCATGACCTGGTGGCTGGTGGCGTTTGCGCACGGGGACCTGGACTCCAGATACCCGGACTCCGGAGACCTGGACTCCGGAAACCTGACCCGCGGAGACCTGCAGAACAAGACCTACTGCGTCACCGACGTCAAGTAAGAACATTTGTGATTTAGATGATTAAAAAGTGTGTTTTGATGAGACTTTCTATCCATCCATGCTCACTCGATCCAACCCTCCTCTTCCTCTTCTCCTCTTCCTCCATTTTTAATATTTAGGTGGAGGAAGAGGAGGAGAAGGAGAGAACGACATTGATTATGACAGGAAGTCAGGGAGCTTCTTTCTCTCTCATCATTTCAGGGGAAATAAAGTAAAGAGTGTAGGAGAGGAGGAGTTGGGCACCTCCCTCTTACGCACGAGTCTTTCCTCCTTCCTTCCTTCCTTTCCTTTCCACTTTTTCCTCAACCACCTCTCCTTCAGGTGGTGGAAAGTAGGCGACATTTACTCAACTATACTCCCTCAAGTGTTTTAATTCAATGCCTTTTTATACTTCTACTTTACTACATTTCAGATGGAAAATTACACTTTTTACTCTTCAGATTACTACGTAACATTTGAAAAACATGTTAAAGATTAAACCAAAACCCCTTTTTTAGTTTTCTCTTATAAAAGAAAAAGGAGTCTAGTTGGGCAGAAGTGCCTTGAGCTTGCATTCTCTCTAATGACCAGTAGGGGGCGACTCCTCTGGTTGTAAAAAGAAGTCAGATTGTATAGAAGACAGCACTGCACGTGGCCAGTAGCTCAGCAGCAATGTAGACTCGCTGATGGTTTCATAATCCACTTCCTCTCCCCGCTAACTGGTTTGGGGTGGCGCTCAATATGGCGGACGCTCCACATCAACAGTGTGTACTTGTACTTTTGATACTTTAAGTACATTAAGCTCACAACACCTTTGTACTTCTACTTGAATGTCTTCTTTGTGTCATGTTGTGTTTTGAAAGAAATGTGTTTCTTATTCTCAAATAGTCGACCAAATATAAACCAACAAGTCACTGAGGATCCACTCTGTCTGTTAGAATGAAACTGATCTGATGTCTGAAACCTAAATCTTAATGTTAAAGTCTTAAATAAATGTCACGTTGGACTAAATCTCTCTCTCTCTCTTCAGGTCGTTCACCTCGGCCTTCCTGTTCTCCATCGAGGTTCAGGTGACCATCGGCTTCGGAGGACGAATGATAACGGAGCACTGTCTGACCGCCATCACCGTCCTCATCATGCAGAACATCATCGGACTCATCATCAACGCCGTCATGCTGGGTGAGACTCAGACTCGTGGTAGTAGGGAAGTAGTAATACGTAGTTTGAGCCTCAACTGTTAAAATAACTCCATCACCCACAATGCCTTGCTCTGTTTTTATTCAGTCCAATAACCCAGGCATGGATTATCATGAGCATTTGGCACAAATAGTCCACATTACTCGAGTCAATAAGTACATAAAGAGTAATGCTGATCAGTAGTATAATATATAGTATTTTAGACATACTAATGTATATATTTGTCAGGATGTATTTGGGGACTTGCAGCTTCATTTGTAATGTGCCAAATATATATATTTTGCAATAAAATGTCCTTACTTCCTTCGTCCGTCCTCAGGTTGTATATTTATGAAGACGGCTCAGTCGAACCGGCGAGCGGAGACGCTGATCTTCAGCCGTCACGCCGTGATCGCCGTCAGAAACAACTGTCTGTGCTTCATGATTCGTATCGGAGATCTCAGGAAGAGCATGATCATCGGAGCCACCGTCAGGTTACAGGTGATACTTTCATCACATCTGCTGTTTGTTGAACAGCGCGTTGCTCCTGCTGAAGGATATTTAAGTATTTCTTCACGATGGTGTATTACGGCCACTGTAGGTATAAACATTTGTTTTATATGGAGCCGAGGGAGAGGGGTAATGTTCAGAGAGAAAAGTCCAAATGTACGAGATTAAAGTTGTAAACTAACCAGAAAAAACTTGGATACTCCCTGAGATTACAGTGGTCAATTTATGAGATTAAAGTGGTAAATTTATGAGATTAAAGTGGTCAATTTATGAGATTAAAGTGGTAAATTTATGAGATTAAAGTGGTAAATTTATGAGATTACAGTGGTCAATTTATGAGATTAAAGTGGTAAATTTATGAGATTAAAGTGGTAAATTTATGAGATTAAAGTGGTCAATTTATGAGATTAAAGTGGTCAATTTATGAGATTAAAGTCGTAAATTTATGAGATTAAAGTGGTAAATTTATGAGATTAAAGTGGTAAATTTATGAGATTAAAGTCGTAAATTTATGAGATTAAAGTCGTAAATTTATGAGATTAAAGTCGTAAATTTATGAGATTGTCGTAAATTTATGAGATTAAAATTGTAAAATTAAGAGAATAATGTATCTACGAATTGTATCTTATCGATACTTTTTTTTAAAAACAGTTTTTAAAGTTTTGATGGAATCTTTTTAAGTGTATTTTTGTCTGTAAAACAAAATTTCCTTGCAAATTAGTTTAACCTCCAAACTCTTCTGTAATCTCAAAAGAACCAAAGTACTCTCCTCTAAAAGCATCAGAAATAAGATTTAAATGAGCAGATGATTAATCGTCTGCAGGTGGTGAGGAAGACGACCACGCCAGAGGGGGAGGTGATCCCCATCCATCAGATCGACGTCCCGACGGAGACGGCCGTGGCCAGCAACAGCCTGTTCCTCCTCGCCCCGCTCATCATCTGCCACGTCATCGACAAAAACAGGTACTCCGACATGCTGCGGATTTATTAAAATTAATAATATTGTGTTTTCTCCTAGTGTGACAATGTAAAGCATTTGTTTAGGGAGGATTCTGGACTCTATAAAGATGTATTTGTGTCCTCCTCTCAGCCCGCTGTACGACCTGTCGGCCATGGAGCTGCAGTGCAGCGACCTGGAGGTGATCGTGATCCTGGAGGGCGTCGTGGAGACGACCGGGATCACCACGCAGGCCCGGACCTCCTACGTCTCCGAGGAGATCCAGTGGGGTCACCGCTTCGTTCCCATCGTGACGGAGGAGGAGGGCGTGTACTCTGTGGACTACTCCAAGTTTGGTAACACAGTCAAGGTGAAGGGATACAAGTATTATTTACTCATCGTTGTTTACGCTCCTTTTTTATTCACCATTTTAACTCGTGGCTATCAAAAGAGAAGAGGACGTAGAAATAGATTTTAGAATCACCTGCATGTTCAGTCTTTTAAATTTCCCGTTTTCAAGCTTTTATTTTATCGTTTTAACTCTTTAAGCTCTTTTATGTGTCACATTTTACCCTTATTATTCTTTCCTTTTTCTATATATTTTTAGTCGGTTCAGTCGGTTGGTTATTTAATTGAATTGTCCGTTGTTTTGTTATAATTATATTATATATTTTAACCAAATTTACAGCAGCATGACGGGTAATTTATTAAACCCAGTTATGTTATAACATTACTGTTACAAATAATTATAATAACACAGCGCTTTAAAGGATACTCAAAGGTACTTTACATGGTAAAAACAATAACAATAACAATACAATCTGAGCAGATAAATGAACAAAAATCAAGTAAAAAGAGCTTTAACAGGTCATAATTTGCAAAGGGACAGAAAAAAACTGTAAAACTTTATTGTAAATCTGTCGTTCAGGTGACGACGCCGCCCTGCAGCGCCAGAGAGCTGGACGAGAAGCCGTCCATCTTGATCCAGACGCTCCAGAAGAGTGAGCTGTCGCACCAGAACTCGCTGCGGAAGCGAAACTCCATGCGGCGCAACAACTCCATGCGTAAAAGCGCGCGCAGCGGCGCGGCCGTCGTGCGCAGGAACAACTCGGGGCTCGCCGCGCCCAAGGTCCAGTTCTTCACCCCGACCGACGGAGTCCAGAACATGAACACCGTCACCTGACATGAGGCCTGCCCCCTGCTGGCGGCCCTGCTCCTCCTGGTGGCCAGGAGGATTGTGGGTGTTGCGGTTTCTCCGGCTCTGATGGGACTCGTTCTTTTTCTGCCTCATTTAGACTCCCGACACTTTTGTGTGCGCGGAGTAATCTAGTTCTTGTTTTTTAGAATTAACTGATCGTTTGTTTCTCCGCACTGATAGAGCCACGAAAAACCCAATCAGTTGTTTAATTGTTACATTTTTTTCTATCATTAAAGCAATAAATACAAACACTTTGGGCCTTTAAGTCACAGTTTAACTACTATTAGTGGCAACTAGTGGCAATCAATCACTGTACTGTACGTGTGTGTTTCACTTCATGTCGTCTTCTGTGTCCTTTGAGAATAAATGCACTCACTTCATCTGAATATGGTTTCAGTGTCTGAACTGTTCAAATCGTCTTTTAGATGAGATTCATTTTGAGCTATTTTACTTCCATAACACGCCGTCTCTCTGACTAGTGGAAAGAAAACATCTAAAATACACATTTAGGTGTTTATTTTACTACTTTGTCTGTTTACGTCTGTAGATTTCTTGTATTACGGCCATTGTAGGTATAAACATTTTTTTAAATTATAAAAAAACTTAGAAATGTCTATTGAAATGTTTGAATTTCTGACTTCCTGGTTTCGTCTTACGTCGCCCTTACGTGCCTGTGACGTCGTCTTCAACCCGGAAGTGACAGTGGGAAGGTTGAAGCTACGATTATAAACAAACATGGCTCGTAGTTTACTCTGCAGGGCTGTCGGTGTGTTTCAGCTCAGCGGGACTTTAACGCCGCTAACCGGGACTCGTTTCTACTCTCCGACTGAACCGGAGCCGCTGACGGTGAGACAGCAAAGCAACGGAATAAGGTGCAGCAACGAAATGTGTCCGTGTCCTTTGGAACTGTCATGCTCCGTGGTAGATGTACTATATTTAAGGGGAGAATACAGATTTTAACAACTAAATAATGTAACAGTGGTACATACAGTACTTATTTGCACATGTCAAGGTCTTAAGAAAAATTCGGCATACATAATATTCCTGTTAAAAATGTATTTTAGTAATAAAAAGTCAATATTTGTACAGTTAAATCAACGTGTTCTTGCTCAAGGTCTGGTGGTGCCACTAATAAATTACTCCGTATACTACAAAGTACTTTAATGTAAAGAAATATATTATTATTAATGCAATGGTGGAAAGTCATTAAGTATAAATACTCAAGTACTGCATTAAAGTAACAATTTTAGGTTTCTTTACACGTATTCTTTATTCTCCATTCTGTCATATATCTACTTAATATTGCACTCTTTGGGGTATTTATACATTTTTTGACAGCTATAGTTTAAATTAAATTAAAAGTAACAATTATTATAAAATGAATTGGTAAAACTACCAAACACTACGTCAAATAATTGTGACATTAAAAATATATAAATATGTTTTTTCTGTATGATGAGTACATTTATTTATTAAAACTTGAGTCTGATAATACTCCTCCACGTGTACCAGAGGAATAGTATGAATCCAGGACCAAGTCTTACTTGAAAGTATTATTGCAAGAATGAATACTTCTTACATCACTGAATTCATGAGCTTATTTGTTTTGTTGGTCAATTTAAAGTATGTTATCTAGTAACTATGTAGCAGTTCGATATACGTAGGTGAGTAAAAAGTACACTTCCATCGAAGCATAAAGTCTCAAAATATACCTCAAAATTGTTTGTCAACGCAGTAATAATAATAATAAATTAATAATAAATAAATAATAAATAATAATAAATATACTACACGCAGCATCATTACTGCAGATCTCTGTACTGCTATACCAGTGTATTAGAGAACTTCTGTAATAAACTGAAGTGTTTAAAAACACAGAAAACTACTGTAAAATGTTAATTTGTATTATTTTTCCAGGAGAATAATATTGAACAATCCCAAGAAGAGGAACGCTCTGTCTTTGTCCATGCTGGAGTCCCTCAGAGAAAACATCCTAACCGACGTCGACAGTGACGATCTCAGAGTTGTTATCATATCAGGTAGGGGTGTGTGTGTGTGTGTGTGTGTGTGTGTGTGTGTGTGTGTGTGTGTG